TCCCTTGGAGGTTCCCCAAATGCGAGGAAGGGATAGCAAGTCCGAGGTACCGGCGACGACAGAGGTAGAGGACCAAGGATTGACGTCTCGGCTGGACAGTTTTACGGCGTGCACCGTTTCCTCTACATCGAAGGAGGAGGTTTACCCACTTAGGTCGCCGCACCGACGTTGTCCCAACAAATCTCCCCGTTTTGAAGGGGTAACAGTAGACGACAATGGTAGAGGAAGGGGGTGACGGTACATGCGGAAGGGGGGTCGATGGTGTCTGCGGCGGATTCGAAATCCGGAGATTGGGGGAAAATAGGGCAACGGATTGAGGGCTTCAGAAATCGATGAAGGTTGGAGGACTAAACCCGGTTTCGAATCAAGGATACAGGAGAACCACGTGATTGCAGTGTAGAAAAGCTGAGAAAGAACAAAGCTTGCAACGGGAAGTGCAGGAATCTGCACTGTAGATGTGCAGAAAAATAACTCAAGTGGCAGGGGGAAGGTGAACTCAAAAACCGGGTAATAACTCGAAAAAATTTTTGAGTTCCATTTCGAGTTTTTCTTCTCCGAACATGAACTTGGGCTTGGAATCATAACTCGAGTGGGCTTTCTCGAGTAAACCGGGTAAACCGAACAACCCCTTAATTTTTTATTTTTTTACACAGACTAATACCATTCTATTATTTGGACTTTTAACGCATTTTTTTTTGTATGCACCCAAAAAAAAAAAAAAAACTCTTACTATTAGCTATCTTAAGTTTCAAAAAAACTGCCATTTACTATAATTTTTTTTTTGGTTCAACAGGCCTTTTAGGGGTTGTTCTTTTTGTATTTTTGAGTTAGAGTGACTTGAGTAATGATCTTGAGTTGAGTTTGAGTCATAACTTGAGTTGAAGTTGTAACTTGAGTTTGTGTTTGGATGTGCACATTTGAGTTATGATTTGAATTTAGAATCTTTTTGAGTTTGTATTTAGGTGGGTCAAAACTTAAATTTATATTTAGATAGTATTTTAATAAAAACTCAATAGTGATGAAAAATTTTAGGTTATATAGGTGGGGTTTTATTCGTCTTTTCGTTGTAAATGCATAAAAAAAATATCATCTCAATCATAATTAAAACGAAAAAATTATGACATTTTTAAGAATAGAAAAAATATTGTTCATTAACTTAAGTTTGAGTTTATGAACTCGAGTTTATCCCCAAACTCAAGTTTAAACTCAAATTTTATACAACAATCCCTGACGTTTTATGCCTGAAAATTGCTTGCATTTTCATGCTTTCCATTACAGTGTCAGCCCTGAGACGTACGTACTAATTATTTGATACTGTACCACAGGGAAAGAAAAACAAACCGTACCTTGCACCTCCTTACCACGCAAATGATTAATATTCCTTTCCATGATCTTTTTTATTTCTTCCGCCCGCAGCCTTCTGAGGTTAAATAATGAAACAAATATCATTTCCAGTTTACTAATGGAAGCAAATCATGGTTTGTAAATTACAGTTTCAAGTCTAAGGAGTTCACCAATATCCATATTTGGAGATAAAGCACCGGCGAGGTCACACATTATTAAGCGAAAACATGTGTCCCATTCAGATTTTGATTTTTGATTTTTAGTTTCAAACTTAAAAAAATAATAATAATTGCCTTTTCTTTTGTTAAAAAAAATTATAATTAGACCTAGAATCATGTAAGATTCAATAAAAAAAACCAACTAGAACTTTGTTTTATATAACGTCCCTACTAAAACTTTTCTGGTCGTCATTGGAGACAGGTGAGAGTTGAAGATGGTGACTAAAAATATGTAAAACGAAGACAAACTTAAATTCTGCTCATTTTATCGATTTAAATTTAAATTTTGAGTTTTATTACAGTTAAAAATTATAAAAAATAGTCACATATAACTTTTTTATTATAATAAAAAAATGGAAGAAAGAGAAAAATAGGCCAAGACTTGAGATAAATTAAAATTAATAGGCCAATAGTTTACATAAGTTAATAAATATGCCAAATTACTGTTTTCGTCCATAACTTGTCTGGTTATGAACCATAACTTGACAAGTTATTGTCCATAATTGTCCATAACTTATCTGGCTATAAACCATAACTTGACAAGTTTGTCCATAACTTATCTGGTTATGAACCATAACTTGATAAGTTATGGCCTATTAATTTCTATAACTAAAAATTGGCCTATATACTTTCTTAAACTTTTCATATTCTACTATTTTTTAAAAAAAATTTCATATAAAATCACATAAACTTAAATTAAAAATTTAAATTAACAAATTAAACAGGTCTAAGTAATAATGCATTCTAATTAAACTTTCATCTTAAAGAAAAGAAAAAAAAAGTGACTTTTCCTAATAGGGGCATGTCACCAACTCATGAAGGCGAATAAAAAGTAGAGTAGCTGTCCAGCTTCCCCTTTTTTCCCAAAAACCAACCATCGACTAATGATCTCTCTTTTTTTCTTCTTTTTGCTGGGAAGACTAATAATCATTTTGGAGAGTACATATAGTACTTATTCTGGTAGTCAGTCAAATACTCTCTCTCTCTCTCTCTCTCTCATGTCGTACGAGATCTCACTGATCACAGATTTCCCACTGATTTTTTTTTTTTTTTTTTTTTTGGGTTACTAATCACAGATTTGCCACCGATTGGGATGATATACCCCCATGATAGAAAATCAGACAAGTCGGTTAGCCTTGTCGGGTACCATGTGCTCCAATATATGGGGGCCTCCTAGTGCTATATGTGCATGTACAAAAGGGACCATTATTTATCATTTTGCAGCAAGAGAGAACTAAAACTTAAAACTATTTTGTTGTAAAAGAAGGAAACAGACATCAATGAGCGAACAAGTAGTGGAGTGGTTTAGGCCCCTTCTTGGGGCTCAACAATGGGACTATGTTGTCGTTTGGAAATTGGGTGATGACCCTTCCAGGTAGTTGCAGTACTACAACAACCACTTTCAAGCAATACCCAGTTCAAGTTTTCACTCTTTTCAATATTCTATTGTTTCATTCGTTTCTTTTTTTTTTTTTTTTTTTTTTTTTAAGGTTTATTGAATGGATGGGCTGCTGTTGTAGCGGTGGAAATGTCAAAGAAGAGAGAACAGAAAATAGCCACTTAAGTTCACTTTGCAGGGACACTTGCTTGAAGCATCCTGTGAGGACAAAGGCGTGTGAGGCTCTTTCTCAGCTTCCTTCCTCAATGCCTTTATATTCTGGGTTTGTACAAACTTTTCTCTCAGCCCCTTTTTTGCTAACTCTTTAAAGTTCATATATGGAAGTCAAGCTTTTGGCCTTTAAAAAGATCTCTCTCTGTTTTTTTTTTTTTTCATGGATGCTAGAGTTCATACAGACGTGGTGATATCAAGACAACCCAGATGGCTCAGCCAAGTTGAAGGCTCGGATTCATATCCTTCACATGTAATTATCTCTTTTCTCAGTGTCGTTTTTGTTTGTATAGTCATGTAATTAGCAATAATAGACTTTGTTATTACTCCAACAGAATTTTTCTGGAACCTTGGCACTAATCCCAGTTGAGGATGGACTTATTGAGTTATATGCTACAAAGAATGTAAGACTTTAACTTTCTTTATTTTTGCCAATTCTTGACAAAATTAATTCACCATTTTCTATCTTCTAATTTCTTTTTTCAGATACCAAAGAATCAAAAAGTTCTGGAGCTGATTTTAGCTCACTGCAATAGCTCATTGAAACAAGAAAATCTTGATATACTGCCTCAAAAGTGCGTACAGAAACAACCATCTTTTTCGAATTTGTTAAGCCTCGGTCCAAGGTCAGGGGTTTTTCAACAAGTAAGCCGATCCGGTTCGCATACTAGCACTGAGGGACCATCCAATGCCAGCAGTTCAAACATTTCTAATGAACATCTGTTGTTTGGTTCAAACTGCGTTTACGAGTCTCAATATCAACCTTACAAATCGTCATATGAGAATACCTCTGAGTTGAAAAAACTGGACTACAATGAAGATTTCTTGAAGCAACAATCGAGTTTGGTTTCGGGCTGTGAAGCAGAGAAAACTGCTAAGAAAGTTACCAAGAGGAAAGAAAGAGGGAGCTACAAGTCGACGAATCTTATTTCGGAGAGGAATAGGAGGAAGAGGATTAAAATGGCGCAACTCACTTTACGTTCTTTAGTACCAAACATAACCAAGGTTCAAGAAAATAAGAACGATTATAGATCACAGTAGAGGAGACCAAATATGTCACTTCTGAATCTTTTTCATGAATCTTTTGTAGATGGATACTGCATCAATTATCGGAGACGCGGTTAATTATATAAGAGAGTTGCAGAAGGAAGAAAAGGAACTCCAGGAAGAGCTCAAGAAAATGGAAGAAGAAGAAGAAAAAGAGCTCCAAAAGAGCAAAGATCGGCTTGCAATCCCCGAGTCAAACGAGGCCAAATTTGTCACAAGTTGCTTGCCTCCTGCTGCGAATAATCCTACCTTTGGTCAAAAAATGAAGACAGAGGTAAAAGGAACATCTTAGTTAGGATATAATCTCTCTCTCTCTCTCTCTCTCTCTTCACCAAATTACCATGCAGTGTTATTTAAACTCCTATGATTTGTGCTGATTCTTAGATGCAAGTGGATGTGAAGCAAGTTGGAAAAAGAGAATGTTTTATTAAGGTCTTCTATGAGCATATGCAAGGAAGCTTTGTAAGGTTGATGGAAGCCATAGATTCTATAGAGCTTCAAGTAGTTAACTGCAACCTTACCACATTTAATGGCAGAGTCCAAAACATACTTGAGGTTAAGGTGAGATGTCAAGAAAAAAATGTTTCTTTTTATGTCTCTGACTCTTTCCTTTTTTTATTTATTTTTTTTTAACCAACTTATGGATTCTTCTAAGTAATCTGCAGAACAGCAGACCGCTTTGGCTCTGTTAAAGTACATTCCATCACCTTTTAACTCTTAACACATTTTTATATCTTATATAGGCAGATAAGGACATCCAGGCAGTGAGATTGAAAAATTTATTGATTGAGCTAGTCGGTTAGAATAAATCACAGAATTTCGAAAGAAACTATGAAGGGAACGAGTGTCAGAGCAAAGTTTCATCTAAGCAGAAAGGAATTTGTCAGCTGAGGAAGCAGGTTTTTCATCCATACGTCTCATTTTAGTCTCTTAAGATAATTTGCCTAAACTTGTATATAGAAGAAAGTACAAGAGTAAACTCATTTCGGAAGAATTTCGCTCGCTAAATTACGATTAACCATCTTCGGTTTTCTTTGTTCCTTCTCAAACAACTATCTTAGATTTTGTATATAAAACTCTAGTAAAAGAATTTTCCTTGTTAATATGGTACTATATTGGCAAAACATCTTTTTTTTTTTTTTTTTTTTGGCTCTAAGTGGGTTGGATGAATAATACAATAATACTTCCATAGACAAGAAAGTTAACTATACTAATGATCTAGATCTTAAAAGAAATAAAACTTATGCAGGAGAAAAGTCCAAGATTGTGCTTATCCTACTATCAATGAAGCACTTCATATTGTCAACTAAAATCGAATTTGCACTTTACAAGCTTCCCTATATCTCCTGGTAATAATTAGTTTGAGGAAACTAAGGAATAACAACAGTATCTCAAAATTAAAAATAAAAATAAAAAAATAAAAAAATGGAAAGAAGAACTTTTTACATGAACAGGTCAGATTAGTTTAAAAAGCAGCATTCCCAATAGGAATGGTGTTTCCTGCCTCCTGGGGAGCCAAACTCAAAAGGGAACCAAAAAAAAATGTGAAGAAGAAATCAAACCATGAACAATTTCTGCTACGTTATGATCCGTTTATTATAGCAGACGGCTGCCAAAGTTACTTTGAGAGCCACCATATCTTTGCTCACCAACATTACGCGCCGTGAAGGCCCGAGTATCGGATTCTCCACTCGAACTATCCCGGACATTCCATGAACTTTGGTATCCAGAAACCTCCCTAGAGTTGTTGAACTCTCCGCTGTACATGTCGTATTCGGAGCTGTCTCCTAACGCCATCCTTCTGAACTTCATAATGTCTTGGTTGTACTGGCCAGAGTCGTATATCATGCTCTGTCCATATTTCACTCCGTTTGTCAGATCAGACATTTCACCTTCACAGTCCAATGCTCTTACCACCTGAAAATGAATTGCAACTAAGTACAAGAAAAAGGTAGAAGATAAAAACATTTATATATATATATATATAATGTTTTACCATGTGAAATGTGAACTAGAAAGAGTGATTGTTAATAGTACACACCTGAACCATGCGGGGTCGTTTTGGAGCTGAATGTCGTACGCACGCAGCAGCTGCCTCGATCATTCTGATCATTTCGCTTTCTACATAATGCTTTTCTAGCCGTGGATCTACTAGTTCACTCATGTCCCCAGTTTCAAGGGCGCGGATTAGAAGAGGGCGAGCCTACCAAAATTTCGATTTTTGACGAGGCATTGTTTAGTAATAAAATCTACCATGTTAAGTATGATTAAGCAATAATTTTTAAAAGATGGGCCTATTATAACAAAAATTAATGTGGGATAATGTAAATGTCTTTACCCATTCAACTAAACTCTCGTCACCAAGAGGCTGAGATGGGTCGACAGGCTTACGACCAGTTACAAACTCAAGAAGCACCACTCCAAATGAGAATACGTCTGATCTATCTGTTAACTTTCCACTTGATGCGTACTCTGGTGCCATGTACCTGCCAAGCCAAAATGGAAGAAAAGAATTAGTGAGGGAGAAAAACTGAAAAACTGACATCACATGAAAACGACAGCGAATTAAAGGAAAAAAAAAAAAACACATTAAATTGAAAACGACACTCAAATGAAAACGACAATAGCCTTGAAAGACATCTCAAATAACAACATCGCATGAAAAACGACGTAAGAATAAAAAAATGACGACGCTAACAGGTTAAACGCTTAAAATTTATATTTCAAAACATAAAAACGACAATGGCCTTAAGGAAACCTCGAGAAAACAATATTTTAGAATAATTTTCTCATATAGCATCAAGTCTGACAACAAACCAAGAAACAAAATAACAGGTTAAACGACTATAGCTTAAACACAAATAAAAGACGACAAAAAAATAGAAAAACGACAACTTATAATGACTTCAGGACAAACCAAGAAACGACATAACAGGTTAAACGAAAATGACTTAAACACAAAATAAAACGACAAAAATTAGAAAAACGACAACTTATAATGACTTCAGGACGACATCACAGGAAAGCGAGAGCAGATTTTAGACACGACGTTATTGAACAGAAAACAACAATAACAGGACGACAGGATAAAAGAAAACAGAGCTCAAGTGTTGCAGAAACCTACCCAAATGTTCCCATAACTCGAGTGGAGACATGCGTATGCGTATCGTTTGAGGGTTTTGCAAGGCCAAAGTCTGCAACCTGTACTCAGTTAAGGAAAAAAATATCATGACCTAGGAATTGTCAGTAAGAAAAATAAAATCTCGAGGTGCAATCTGCAAAAATTGAACAACATGCCTGTGCCTCAAAAGCATCATCCAAAAGAATATTTGCCGACTTGATGTCTCTGTGAATTATTTTCGGGTGGCCTAGAAATATTGGACCACATAACAAAAAGAGACAGAATCAGAAAACAAATTTTGTTATTTTGAGCATCTTAACTGCAAAATGATGAGAATGCTAGAATAGGTACATACAATCCTCGTGTAAGTATGCCAAACCCTTTGCAGCCCCTAAAGCAATCTTGAGTCTTTTAGTCCATTCCAACACCGGCATTCCATCACCTGATGACAGCCCAAAAATTGGATCAAAATAAGCACAAAAAGAAGTGAACCTAACATGCAATCAATTAAGTTACAAAAAGTGTTAGTCTTAGATTTTGGCCTTACCATGCAAATGATGCTCCAAAGTTTTATTGGGAACAAACTCATAGATCAACAATCTCTGTTGCTCAGAGATGCAATATCCCACCAAAGACACCAAGTGACGATGGTGAACTCTACTAATAATCTCAACCTCTGCTTTAAACTCTCTCTCTCCTTGTCCACTCCCAGCCTTGAGCTGCTTCACAGCCACCACTTTCCCATCTGGCAAGCAACCCTTGTAAACGCATCCGAACCCGCCCTCACCGAGCACATTTTGACTCGAAAATCCGTTCGTTATTTCCGTCAATTCTTCATAGCTGAAGTAAGGATTAGGACCTCCTATTAGACCAGACTCCAATCCCCCTCCATAGCTCGCAATGCCTCTCTGACTGCCATAGCTATTATTGATGAAAGAATTTGGGCCTTGTGAAGGGAAGAAGCTGTCCGCTGGCCCAGAATTGCTGATGTTGATGTTATGCTGCTGTCCCACGTAATATCCTTCTGCATCAGAAAACAGAATCAATTTGATATTTGGCTGTGGGCTGTCCAAAGCGCCCATTTGGCAACTTGCTCGCATAATTTATTTGTTTTGGCAGTCAAACCCACGACCTCGTAAAGGAAATAGCGGCCTCCTACCGCTCCTCTAGGGTCAAAATTTAATTTTATAAAAATTGAGGGATGAAAATATAATTTTTAGAAAATATAAATTTGCATTGTGCCCATCAATTTTTAAACAATTATAGGCTCCGACATGATTATATGTCGATCCGACTCCAACTCTTAATCGTGCCCAACCTTGACATCAATCATATGGATTTGCTATTAAATAATATAATACAATACGGAAAAAATGAATCGTATTCAATAATACGACATAAACCGTATTAATTTACTATCCGTATTAGCACAATAATCACACTAAATATTATATTATTATATTATTATACAATATGGTCTCCTAATATGGCCAAACAAACATGCCATTGTTGTATATCTACATATTTCAAAACTTAAAAATTATAAAGGTTGAGAGTCCCGCATTGAAAACATACCAGCATTTCTTCTCTCCCACTCTATATAAAGGACTAAAGCCCAAAGATCAATCTTACAATTTAATTTATAGAAAATACACCTTATAATATAATTTATACCTATGTCTAAAGCAAATGTCATATTTTCTAAATAGTGATAAATTAAAGTATATTTTCAATTTTTAATCTAAAATAAAATATTATTTTCCAACTTTATCCGCACTTTTAAAATTTCATCATATCTTCCCTCAGCTTACAATCTTGTTTTCTCTCCGGACCCTTTCTCTCTAACATCAGACTACACAACTCTCCTATGCGATCTCATATTCTCTCTCTCCTCTATGGTTTCTCTCCCTCCGCGGTCTCATTCTCGGCAATCTCTCTCACTTCCGCGATGACGACATAGATTGAGGACGACGGTGAAGATCGCGTTGAAGGTTCAATCTCTGGCCCGATGAGGTCCAACATCTGCGGCAAAGCAACCCGTGTGTTGTTTTTGTCTTCTCAAACATCGAGTCTTTCAACTGGAAGAAACTGACTACAACTAATTTCAGGGATCATCCATCTGTTTGGGGAGAATGCTTTCCCTCCTCAGTCGTCAATAATGCAAAGCATCAGTTTATTTTTTTCATACAGCATCCAACGCATAAGATGAGAGGTTCTTGTGTACTTTTATATGTCCTCAAGTGGGGAAAGAAAGTAACAAAAATAGTGGAAAGGTTAATACTGTTTTAAAATTTTAAAATGGTTTGTGCCATTTAGGACTTGAGTTTTCTTTACTTTTTTGACATATTTTGGGAACCCTTTTAAGCATATTCACAAAACTTTACTTTTTTGACATATTTTGGGAACCCCTTTTAAGCATATTCACCTCTGACATCTACAGTGCCGGCAAAAAATATGTAGCCTTGGTTTGGTTATATCAAAAAGGAATACTTGACAATATTAGTCTTTTTCTTTTTTTCTCTTCTTAGTTATATGGATATTGGTTGTTAGCTAAGTAATGCATTTGATATACATATTTATATCAAACGACTGGCAACACTGTAAATTTTGAGTAGGCAATGTTTTAGTTATGTAAATTTTAGGAAGTGGAATTGTATTTACCATTAAATTCTTAGATTAGCATTTATTTTCATTTGGTTTCGCTTTTGTTTATGTTTGTGTTTGAAATCTGGTATATATTATATTTACCAGTAATAATACTTTGATAACTACAAAATTAAATATGATAAAAACTGTATATACCTAAAAATACTATAGTCGTTGCACGTTTGAAAATATACTAAATTGAATATGATTGGGTTGGTTTGGTTACCGAGCCATGTAAGGACGAACCTATGTTTGAGAAAAATGTCCAAATCTAATTCAACCTCTAACATAAATCTTTCCAATGAATACATTTCAATAATTTGCAAAATTTAAGTGATGTGTTGTCAAAACTAGAAATTTAGAGGACAAGTTGCCGTGAGCTTAAAATGTTGAAAGGCATTATTGTGATACTTCGTTTATTTCATCGATTTGAGTTTAGAATTTAAATTTTACTTCTGTAAAAAGCTCTCAGAAACAGTTATATCTAACTTTTTTACTACAATAAAAAATCATCACATAAAATTACATCTCAACTCAAATTAAAAATTCGAATCAGCGAACTAAACTAACCTAAATTATTTAAATATTCGTTTTTTTTGTAAATAAGCGTCTATTTGGGGGGTTTTGTCTGACATACCTGATTTCACTGAAAAGGTACCCGCAGGCATGTAATGCGCCGCCGCGTAGACCTCGGCGCGTTTTCTCCTCCGCCTTGCGCACACGAAAAACATGGCGATCAACGCGATTATGAAAACCCCCGCCACCGCCACTCCCACGACAGTTCCGGAATGGACATTCGATTCCGATGGCGAATTGGAAGTTGAATTTGAGGAAGACTCTGATCTGGAATCAGACAGCGGAGGCGAAAGCGACAGGCTTGGCGTCGATTCAGAAGGAGGAGGTGGACTTAACATCGAATCCGTAGGAGGAGCGAATTCTGATGGTACATTTGGCGGCGGCGGATTCTCGGCGGGTGTGTTAGTGTTGGCCGGAGGAGAAATAGAGGAAGAAGGAGGGGATTCGGACTCTGGAGGCGGAGGAGACTGCTGATAGTGGGAGCTAGGCGGAGAAGGGGAATCGTTCGTCGGCGGCGGAGATTCAGGGCTTGGAGGGGAAGGAGAAGTTTCCGACGGGGGCGGAGATTTCTTGGAATGGCTTGGAGGAGGAGAAACGGGCGATGATTTCGACGGCGGCGGATCTGACGGTGACGGTGTAGATTCCTTCGGCGGCGATGGGGTTGGGTTGCTCGGTGGCGGGGATTCGGAAGGTGGTGGAGTATTCGACTCAGCTGGAGGCGGCGGCGGCGAAGATGGAGGAGGAGATTCCAATCGTGGCGGAGGTGAAGGCGTGGCGGAGTTGTCGGGTGGAGAAGGTGAGGGAGGAGCGCTCGGACCTTGGCCGTCAGACGGTGGCGATGGTGCGGAGCCCTGATCCGACGGCGGAGGAGAAAAGGAGGTGTCGGAAGGTGGTGGTGTGGTCGGTTCGGATTCTGGAGCTGGAGGTGACGAATCACTCGAATCTGACATCTCCTTTTCTTCGTCTGCTTCTTCAACAAAACTCTATAGAAAACAAACGTAAAATCTCTCTCTATATGGTTCTCGTATTACACGGAAAGCGATCAAATCAAATTAAGCTGGTGTAGAAACGAAACCATGCAAATAAAGATTACGTATTTTCCAAAGAAAAAACGAAACTTTTTTGGTTTCTTGACAATTAAGACTTGTACTTTTGAATGTTTAACGAAAAGAAGCGATGAGAATTGGATGGTTTTGCATAGAATTGCAAAATCTGGGTGGAAAAGAAATGAGCCCACGATCAAAGGAAACCAAACAACGTGTATAGAAGAGAGAGAAAGAAGAGAGAGAGAGAGAGGTGGTTAGTTTTGAGGACTAACGAAAAGCAATATTGATGAGCACCGCCACCACCAACAACAACAACGTCAACAACGAAACGACACCAACAAGACGACCTTAAATTTCTCTATTGTTTTTATTTATTTATTATTATTGTATCTCTGTTTGTCTGAAACTCTGATTACTTGGATGCACGATGTTTTTCGGTTGGTTAAAATTCCCCAACTGTCGCCATTTCTTTTTTCGAAAAATGGTTCTGCACTCCTTGAGTTTCGGCTTACCGCGCAAATATATAAACGAGGTTGGTGTTGGCCCACCAGGATTCCGTTGCTGTCGGAACTTGGACTAAAGTGGGCCCAGTAAACTCTAGTAGACTCATTGAGCAAGTGGTAATAACTGTACCTTTTTGTTACTTTTTTTGCCCTTTTTATCCCTCATCCTCTAAATTTTCACGCCGTTTTTCTTCATTAAAATCATCTTCAATATAAATGTTAATATTAATTATATATTTAACTAAAAATATTAATTGAGTCAGGCTGCTTATTGAGCACGATGACACGACGTGAAAAATTTTAGACTGGACACGATACGACACGAGATTTTTATGAGCCGTGCTAAGCACGACACGAGGTGGTGAGCCATACTGGGCTCATAATTTTAAGGAAAAAAATAGATGATTTACTTTTAAGAGTGCTTGATTCTAGACCTTTATTCTTTATTTTTTATAAATACCCTATTGTTAGTATAATTATTTGACTAAAAAGGTTATGAATCAAGAGTAAATAGTAAAAATCATGAACCATATACTTTCAAGAGTTATTTATCAAGATTACCCTAGCTTTAAGCACGTGGGTCTAACACAACACGACACGACGATAAATACGAGCACAACACGAACATGACACGAGCATGACACGACCCATCGAGCACGATGGGCCGGCACAACGAATATAATTTTTCTTTTTTAAAAAAGAAATAATTTTATGTTATCGTTACTATTTACATATATGTAAATAATTAAAAATTCGCATAAACAAATTAAAATTAATTCATTTGACCTTAATTAAAATCAAAGCATGATTGCATTAATTTTCATCATCATAGTACAAACTTGGACGGCAACTCTATGTTTTAACTAAATTAGTTAAAACATGAAATTTTCAGTTTCAATAAGATTTTGAGTGAGGGACTTGACATATATTATTAATTTGTAATCTCATCTCCTCTTCTCAATAATTTAAATAAAGTTAAAAATTTTGTTTATAAATTAGCACTTATGATGGTAACTAAGTTTTGTGCTTTTTCTTTTCTTAGTAATAGCATATGAAATTAGATTTTTATTTGAGTTATTTTTTACTTGAAACTGTTAAAAAAATAATTTTAGGTGATTAAATAGTTCAATAGGCCAACCTAAAAATTTATTGTGTCAAGCACGAGCACGAACAAAGTACGGGCACGAGCATGTATGGGCTTGAGCCCATGGGCCATGCCTATAATTTTAAATCTTGGACTGACATGAGCACGACACGAAGTTTCAATGGACCATGCTAAGCATGGCATGCACTAACAAGTTTGGTTTTTTTTTTTTACTACTCTTTAGTATTTACCTTGCACTTAATTTTAAATTAGAACTTATCTTTTTATTGGACTTGATGCTCTTAGTGAAGACTTGTACTAATTACTTATGATGACAACTTAAATTTTTTTCTTACACTTAGTTTTAAATTAGAATCTTTTTATTCTACTTAGATGTTACGAGTGAAGACTTGTACTAATTATACAGTTTAGATCTTTTTTTTTTCAATGTAATAGTTTGCTAATTAGTTGTAATGTTATATATATTTAAGCAAATATATTTAAATTAAATTAGTTATATTATTAATTATATTAATGTTATTATGAAGCACAATTTTTATCAATTATATGATTATTGGTATCAGCCATTTACAAATCAAAACAATAAAAAAAATAAATAAAAAAATTGAACAGTAGCAGCGAAAAAATGCGCCACTACTTTGAATGTCGAAATCAAAATAATTTTATTACAAATAAATATATAGCGGCGAAAGTTTTTACTCCTAATGTTGCTTTTTTTTGTGTCAGAGAGATGTAAAATGTAGAGGTGGCTTTCTCTTGTACCAAGGAAAATTTTTGCCGCTAATTGTAGCAACGAATTTCAAATTCGCCGCTATAAGACTATAGCGACTAGGTTATAACGGTGAGTCAATGAAGAATATTTTCGCTGCTACAGATAAGTAGCAGCACATGTCTTTTTATAGTGGCGAATTTTTTTGCCACTAATAACCTTTTTTCGTGTAGTGACTGTTCAACAATGTTTAAAAAAAATATCAAGAAAAGAATTATAGATCTTGATTTAAGGAACACAAAGGTTATAATAGAGTAATACTGTATAATTAAACCATTTTGGATCAATCTTGGCAAGCTCAAGAGCTCCAATCAACCCGAAAAATCAGTTTCACGTTCCACTATCAAGCTAAAATTAAACAAGTTCAATGAAGCAGGTTTCATCAGGACCAACTATCTTATAACCGTTCAAACAACAAAATGTGAGAGGAACCGCAAACATGTTGAATTTCTTAACTTCGAAGGAGAAATTTTCCTTTCCGACTCTAGTGATGCTGGAGGCTCCTGAACAAACTTGAGCCCTACGATTGAGCCGTACACTCGACGCAGAAAATTTCCATCCAAGATGAAATTCATGGTTTTCTATGATATGTGTGTGCGCACGCGCGCGCGCAGCAGCTCTTGATCTCCTTCTATGACGTTGACAAACTTTAGGAAAAAGATATGCTCTCCGACGAGGATTTGATCATAAATTGAGTCGCGAAAAAGCCTGCTTCAAGAGTGATTAGACAAGGCGTTCCCATTTCTGTCTTTTTTTTCTTTTTTTTTTTTTTTTCAAGCCTTTTCTCTATGTCTTCAGAAAAAGAGCATTCTTAAAATTAAAACAACCGAACTTCTACAAATGGTGAACTAAAGAATTATTTTCTAAAAGACAAAAGTAGAAAAATTATGTTATCCTATATTTCTTATTTCTTTCGGCCCGTTTTTCTTACCACTCTATATCAAGCCAGATAAGTAAGGTTTTCGACAATCTCGTCAATTGCCTATTGGTGTTTTATGTAGTATGTTGTTTGGAGCCCCTAAGAAAAAACCGAATTTCTGAAGGGGAACAGAGAGAGAGAGAGAGAGGTGTTGTAGGGGGTTGTATGAGACCGGGGTTATTTGTGGAATTCAAGGCGAGTCAGTTGGTTGTAATGACTCAACAAAGTGAGAATTGGAACGAGAATGAGAAGGACGGGGCGAGCGTGAAGCCTAATAACAAGTTTAGTTTGGTAAAAAAAAAAAAAAAAAAAAAAAAAAAAAAAAAAGAGTAAAAAACTGTAGCTTTCAATGTTAAAATCATAATATATGCTTGACTTGAGATCTTTTATAATATGTTTGACTTATCCTTATATCATTATTGTACTTAACGATAAGCCGTTGACTATTAATCGTTTGACATGAGATCAACGACGAAACAATGTAATTACTATATCGACAATACAATCATTGACGTATATAATTTCAACTAATTATAAGATATTTTTCAATCACAATCTCTAAAAAATCCTTTTGTTCTCCGAAGAACCTTAAAAATTTGTATTTATTGATGACTATTGCGTGCATATATATTTTTATTTGTTCAAAAATTAAGGACAAAATAATTGAAGTAGTAACATTGATGTGATTCTCAGTTAGCCAGATATTAATTTGTCTACAATGATAATCTCTAATTAACTTAATTGCTGTGGTTGTAATTATAATTAATTTTTGTTTTCAAAGGAATATTTGTTGATTAATTATATACATGTAACATGTATATGAGTACAACTAAGCGATGACGTCAAATATAAAGGAAAAAACTTTTTATTACCACATAAAGTTGTGGTTAAATTATGGTAACTAGATAAATTTTCCATAACTAGTACACAACTAGACAAATAAAATTTACTTTGGGAGTAAGGAATTCTAGAAAATACCCCTCAATCTTTACCTTTTGTGCCAAGAACATACCTTCTCTGGTTCTCCCTATTCGAAATGTCAAGACTACCCATTGATAAAAAGACCAAAACCCATTTCTAGTATCTCATGATGGGTATAATAGCGCATTCATTCCTCCACTTCAATTATGATAAGACAAAAGTGAAACGTTACGGTCTTTGACAGCCTTTAGAAACAAGCACAAGAAACTTTTGATTGGCCAAACAGCCAAACACACAAGCAGATTGTAAATTCTCATGTTTTTTTTCATACCCTAAATTTCGCTATAAATACGTGTCGATTCTTTGTTATTTTCCATCAGTACTGCCCCTACTCACAGGCACAGCCAAACAGCTTATAGCCCACCAACCCTCTCACTGGTAGCATTTCTCTCAATCACCTTTGGATCTCTTCTTTTCAGCTTCAAGGTTAGTCTTCTCTTTTGTTTTATTTTTTTTTATTACAGTAATACAAGCTTTTTTCTTTGTCTTGCCATTGCATGTTTTGTTAGAATCTAATGTGTACGAGGTTTGCGTTTTCAATAATGGACGCAGATATGGGTCCTCGTGAAGAAAACTATAATTCGGACGTTCAGGTCGAGGTTTCTGACAGTGAAAACTCTGATTCTGAAAACGACGATCAAGTCTCCGTAATCGTGGACAACGAGGAACTAATCGGCATGAACGCCACTTCTGCGGCGGACGAAGACGAAATCCAGAGCCCTTACAACTTCGAGGACTTCGCCAGAGAGGGGATGAAGAAGATTGAAGAGACTGAACGCTTGTTCAAGGACGTGAAGAAGCGCTTCCTCCTGGAATGGGGTCGCTCAAGAACGAAACGACTGTCGTTTCGGCCCAAAAGTGCCTCAACACAGCCAGCGTCACAATGCAGGCCCGGATCGACTCGTTTCGGGTCTTCTGCGAGGCAATGGCGAGAAAGCGTGGCGGTGAATCGAATCAGAGGAGGGGTTGGTATCCTTCCTCCAGGGACGAGATCTGTCCGATCGTGTCCCGTGGGTTCAGCCGCTGCGACGATCCGAGAAACGACGACTCGTACGGCGTCGGGATCTATTTGAATCCAAACTTCTCACTTGACAGGTACTAATTAAAAAATGTTATTACAAACTTGCAAATGTTATAACATGTATTAATATATGTTTTTTGTTTGTTTTGTTTTGTTTTTGGGCAGTGCAATATCGTCAGTTGAGGATGAAAGTGGGCTAAGGCATGTACTGATGTGCCGGGGTAGAGCAGATAACTCAAGGATCAAAGCAAATTCGTCCAAGTTCTAGAAATTTTGATTCTGCAGTGGACAATCTTGTGGCCCCAACAAAGTTCATCATAAGGGGGGCAGACATGAACTCTCATATTTTGCCTGAATATCTCATCAGTTTCAAGACTCCTGGACTCGCAAGGAAAATTATTATCTCTCCTTTGAGTACATTAATCAATGAATGTGTGTGTGTGTGTGTCAAAGTCGTGTAAATTAATTGATGTTCTAACATTTCGTCTGTTATATGTATGGAACAAAATCTTGAGATATACATTCAAGGCCAAGGAAACGGCCCAGAACGCCTTGGATGAGCTTTCCTATTCTAATTTCCACTCTGTCGATGCATCTGAACCCGACAAGAACGGCACTGGTGGTCAGAAGCTACAATGATTTCAGAGTAAGTTCAGTACATCACGTTACATATATACATATATATATATATATATATGTAAAACCCTAATAGTTGGTTTGTTATGAGGATCAAGGAACTTGCTGGGGATGAGCTCTTGATTCGGTTGATCAGCTCGAACCCGATGGATCCTACCCCGTAATTGAGTTTTGGGACTGAGGAATTTCATCCAACCCAGCCTTTTTGGCAGATCATATTTTTGTGAAATTGTAATCTTTGCTTTGGGAGTTTTGGAATATTGGGTTTCAGATGTTTTTCTTTGTTGGTGTTTGGTCTGTTAGACGGCTGTTTTTTCGGCGGCCGTCTTTGAGTCATTGTAAGGTAGGGGATTTTTTTTTTTTTTTTTCCCTGTTGCGGCTATCTAGTGTTTTTGTCTTGGTTGAGGGGCTGACTTCTGTTTATGGTAATTGTGAGTCATTTCTTTCTGGTTGAATATCATTTGAAGTGTTTGTTATATGTATGCCTCCCCTAGTTATATTTTTGTGTTTATCTCTATCTATCTAGATTGTTCTAAATATATGTATTATACACTTAATATATTTTTGTAAAAAATAATAAATAAACAAAGTATACACACATAAAATACACTAACGAAAAAAATAATTTATATAGAAAAAAAAAATACACGCGCTAAAAGAAAAAACACATTACATAATACACACACTGACGCACTTGTCTATATATACACAATATAAATATATTTATACACACACACACACACATAAAATACACACCACCCAAAAAAAACACGATATGTACACAAAATTTATCTTCGCAAACAAGCAGTATATACACACACAGACAACAGGACTAATACTTTGGATGAAAATGCAGTACTAGTGTGTATTGATATCTTTATGCAAATATTATATGTATATAAGCCGTACGCAAATATTATCATCAAAGATTGTGATATTATTTATAAATAAATAAAAATCTGAGTTATTTTGTTTGATGTTTATGCTTCTCTACAATTGACAAGCAAAATATTATTAATAATAATCATCATCTTCTTGATCATCGTCTTCACAAATGTCTAAAAGTCCTCTTTATTTTCTCAAAATTAAAAAAAAAAAAAAAAAAGGACACTTCTTTATGAAGCCGATCATATGCAACCAAGTTTTCGAATACACACAAAGAGACTTTTCTTTTCCTTTTTTAATGGGACAACATTTTCTCAAACATAATATGTTTTTTGCGATATTATTGGAATCGGAAATTTCACTCCATTTTTATGTTTTGCTAGAAGGGCCAAACGTAGTTCACTTCTCTTTTCTCTTCTACTTTATCTCTGCTAGTAGTTTCATTCTTCTTCTTTTTCTTCTTTTTTTTCTTTTTTTTTCCACCTCTTTTTAAAGGAAAAACGCTCCTCTACTCTCCTGCACTTCTAAATGTATTATTATACGTATACTGGACCATAAGGTGAAAAACAAAAACAAAAACAAAACAAAAGTTCAGTGAACTATTGAGTTGAGACTTGAGACTGTCAATACGATAGTAATTCATCAGAGTATCAACTATCAAGGCTTTCCGTAGACTTCGTTGACCGTACGGGGAAATCTATATTGAGTATCATTTCTTCAATTTTACGTCGATCGAGATGTTTATTTGATTTATTCCAAAGAGATTTTTTTTTGGAAGATTTCTCCTTCGAATTTCGTTCCCAACAAATAGATGCTAAAGAGCGCCATATGGTTTACTAGGAAAATCTAGAGTGTGTTTGGAATTCATTTTATAATAATTTAATTTTTTTTTATAAAAATAAAAATGAAAATATTTTCAATGTCAGACAGAAATTATTTTTAAAAATGTATTTGATAGTTTTATCAAGAGATTATTTTCAGTGTAAAAAAACTTATTAATGTCTCTTTCTCTCTGTTCGAGAGAGGAGAAAATGAAAATAAAAAATAAAAAACGACTAAAAATCATTTTTCATTTCTCTCATTTTACAATAAACTAAAAAATCATTTTCATTTCCGTTTTTTTTCTTTATTGCGTCAAATGCCATTTTAAAAACGTTTTTATTTTTTCTTTCTTGAAAAACATAAAAACAAAAACGGGAACAATTCCAAACACCGCCCTAGTTTTTTTTTCATAGAAAAATAAACTAGTTGTAAAACTTTGATATCGGCTTTACAAGATGCTTAAGAGCGCGATATGGTTTCTTGCGGGACTCGAATTTACTAACACAACACATTATTCTATACACTGAAATCTTCAAAAAAATTATCTATTTAAAGATTTTCATATCTAAGAAATATTGCATCTTTAACACACACCACGACATTATCTATTGGATCCAGCATTTGGTATCCATTTGAAACGGCCAACTTGGAATGTTTATTGTTTAGTATAATAATGGGCAAAATCATGACTCATGCCACCAAAAAGTAGGCATGCAACAATAAAAAAGATTTTTTTTTTCCCCTCTTTAGGTTGGGGGTGTAAAGACGTTGTTTCCTGATAATTTACAAGACAAGTATAATAATTTTTACTAATATCTATCTAGAATAATACATATTCCCCATGAGAAAAAATATAGCAACATCCACCATATATATAGATAACTAGATAGAGTAGGCTTAACAGAAGAATATCCTACTACTCCTTGTCCATTAACGCCCTTATTTGCTTCTCCAGCTGATAATAAAGCAAAAAACAAAACCAATTTTATAAGTTATGACACTAACGGCTTTAAACTTAAGAACGAACTGTTCGTATATGCTCATGATATATGAGTTTTGACGATGAAGATTCAGGTTTGGTCCGGTAACAGATACAAACCTTAGCAGTTTCCATCTTTTGCATTTGCAACTCTTTAACTAGTCTCTCGTTGCTGAAAATTATAAAAGAGAAGTAACAATCAGAAGAGACTGAATAATCAGATCGAACGAACATATCTTCTTGGAATTCCACGAGTTCACCGCACTTACTGTTGTTCCATACACATTACATGAGATTCAAGGAGTCTCTCTTTACCAGAAGCAGCAAACATCTGAAGAGTGTGACAATGTTACTAATTCAAGTCCAAAAAAAAAAAGACAAGAGTGTGGCATCTTAACTTTTTAATGAGCAATAATGTCACTATGATTTCACCATTTAATAGCTTAGTTAACAGATAGGAAAGAAACAGTCCGTACCATAGTGAAGAAGAGCAAAAATCATCAAACTGAACCAGTGTACTAATCTAGAGCTAAAGTGGCTCACAAGTAAATCTCCTTCACTTGATTGTTTCAACTTACTTTTATGATAATTTTAGGAGTCTTGTATTTTTTTTTTTTCATATTCTCTATTATTATCTTTGTGCTGTTATCATACAGATTAGTCTTAATTTCGAATGCAGCATAGTGTAGTTTATACGGGTAGCAATACTGTGCACCACTTCAAAGGTCAAGTCAAACTCTAGTTACCTGAATGTGCTCATTGTTGCTCACTGGTTCAGCAAACTCGGTAAAATTACCTTTCGCTATGTAAATTGGAAAAATTACGAGATTAACATGGAGAAAACAGGAAGATGACAGTATCAATGCTTAACTGATAACTAAAAAATATGTACAGATTACCAGTGGTTTGTTGTACATATCTGGTAAATCTCATTATTTGGTCCTGCAATAAAAGGAACTGTTATGAACACCAAGCATAATTTCCTAATTCAGACAACAAGAAAACTAATTAAAAAAACCTCCATTTCACACCCTTTGCATGGCATTTTGCTGCAATAGATATTGTAACGACGGAAGAATTGAAGCAGTTGTGATGGATATAGGATTTAGAGATTGCCCAGAACATGAACTGACGAGACCGTTTGCAATGTCCTAGAAAACATAATTCGAAAAGGTTAAAAGCCAATCAAAGATTTATATTGGAAGAAAGATCTTGCAGAAGTCTTCCATTCCACTATTCAGAGGGGATTCAACCACTTGAAATCCACCATTTCAGATTTCCAAATATAGTACCCTTTTAAGTATAACATAAAGCTCATTGGGTTATATAATACGAGTAAATAAAGGGAGAGCAAATCATACGTAGGTTGCATGAAACTAGTTATAAGAAGAATGCATTGACCGCATTAGTGCGGCAATCATAAATGCACTTATTTTTAGCTGACATGAGTTATTTCGTCAATAAATTCGGTACCGATCTTTCCCTTGTATAGACTCTAGTTTCCAAGTATAGTGTTCACCAAAACTCCAGGATTAAATTGAAAACAAATAGGTTTAGTTATTTAATGCTATCTTTTTTGTCTTATTAGCAATGAGCTGGTAACTTTGCTCAAGCGTACCGTAGGACTAGAATCCGGCTCTCTCGCAAACTGGCCCCTGCATTGGAAGCCGGCTTCTTCCGGCACATTTTGTCCTGCATTTAGGTGACATAAATTTAGATTAAAAAAAGTCAGGTCAAGGAGAGGGAAAAAAAAAACATGCATATATAATGAATAAATGTGCAAACGAGATAAAGACGTACTGTTATCTCCCTCCAGATGATGTGACAAGCGATCCCTACAATTAGATTAACATCTTTAGATGTATGATGTATCCTGCTATGAGGCTACGGCATTTTACATATCATAGTTGCAATAATTGAGCTTGAGTTAGCTGTTTGAGTCCTGATTTCTTGTTTGTAGCTAAAGCAAAGCGCAAGCTAAACCAGCTTTACATGATTTAAGATATCTCCTTATTTGAAGCAGGTAATTAGCATAAAGATGGAGGATAAACAGATATGCTATCAACAAAACACTTGAAGCCAGAAAGCAAAGTAGAAGTTATGACATGACTAGTTTCAAGGCTTAAAATGTAGAGAGAGAGGGAAGGAAAAAAAAAATCAGATCCACCTAAAGCTGAATGATGAATCAATGGCCTAACATGTGCACGGAGCAACAAGCAGTTAAATTTGCATGAAGTTGACTAAAGAGAATTTAACATAGATAACACACAAAGACTGTTTAGGAATAAATACTTATTCACCATGTTAATGATTTATTTAAAGAACTGAACCATAGGAAAACGTAAACGTACTCAAGTGCCTGAAAGTGTTGCTCACGAAATGAAGCTTGGGAACCATCAATAATCCGAAGATTATCACGCCCATCCTGAAAACAAATGAAAAATAAATCAACATAGTCTGGACGTCACCCATCCTACATAGTCAGAAAATAAGATGAATCCCAATGAAAACAATACTATCACCTTCATAAATAAAATAAAATAACATAAAAAATAAAAATAAAAACATAATACCACCTTCATGGATTTTGCAGATGTTTCAGAATCAGAATTATTTGGACTTTCCACTAACTTCCTTTCTTCTTGTGCAGGTAAGTTATCAAATCCTCCCTTCTGTTTGCTTATCGAGTCTTGATTTTCCATATTGGAAATAACGTCATCATCTTGAAGCTGTAAATAGAAGAAACAATTTTTTGAATGTTAATCACTTAATTTCTTACAATCAATACCGCCCATGAAAGCTGATCTGTTCTAGGGATTAACCTACTTACAAGAGCAGCCTGCTTTTTCAAATCCTCTAGATCAAAATTCCATGCACTGATCCCTCGTATATACTCTTGCTGCAATGGATACAAGCATCAATCAAGGAAATCTTTTTTGCAATTATATGAGATAGAATGTAATAGTTAGACATACATTTTCTTTTTAATGCGATTATTATTTTTTGCAGTTTATGACATAGGAAAAAGAAATGATATCGGGTCAGGGGCTTAGAGGTGTAACACAAGAAAATTGCATTTGATCCAACAAATAAAGCAAGACACATTTGCAGAAGCGCAATACAACTGTTTCAAAAGAAATTAAAACCTGTGATAATTGTTCCTTGTCACCACATATAGCCTTGTTTTGTGCAAGAAGGTCGGCCTCCTTTTCCTGGAAAATGGAGAAATGTCAAAATATGCAAAACTTGAGTATAATAGATTATTTAAGTGTTTAAAGTTCACAACAGAACTTGCTAGCAACATAGAACCTTCAACATCCTAAAACGATCACCAAGTGGAGGAAGGCCATCAAGAATGGTCTGGACCAAATAGTCTCTTGAACGTGCATGTTTGAAAAAACGATGTTTCAAAAGCTTTTCTGCTGTAGGGCGCTTCTTCGGATCCTTTACTAAGCAAGCAGCTACTATCTCTTTAAAGGACTAGAAAACATTACTGATGTCAGAGAAATTAAAGAAATTTAACATCTCCAGGCTCCAGAGGTTTCAATTCCAAAACATTTACCTTTGAAAACTTCTTGTCCCTCTCATAGTCCAGACCAGGGGGTCCATTTTGTAGAGTCATCAGTAAAACCTGTCATAAAAAGTAAAATAATAGGACCTTTTACAAAAATGGAAACAAAAAAGGACCCAGGGGCCAGGACCACATGCACAAACGTAGAACACAAGCAGGCATGTCTCCTATGCAATATTGTCAACCAAACCAATGCATATAGACTGACAGAGACAAGCAGAGTTTAGGATAGCATTGAGAAGATAATAATTCCATTCCTTGGATAACAGCTGCAGAGAGACCCCAGAAAGCAATACACGAATAATTCAATCACAGAAGAGATTTTCAAATTACTAAATAATAAATAAGCAAATAAATAAATAAACACTAGAAGAAAGGACTCCAGAACATCTCAATTGCATGCATAAAACATGCATTCCTGCAGTTTAGTTAGGAAACTTTTGGATTTTGATCATGGAAGTTCACCATGCTGCAAGTACGTGTTAAAGTAAGACATAAGTCCCATTCATTCTTATTGCAGATGATAATGAGATTTACCTTCATTGGTGGATAGTTTGAAAATGGAGCATGACCATGAGCAAGTTCAAGAGCTGTAATCCCAAATGACCAAATGTCTGCTCTGTACACATGAAACTTGTTATGGAGATCTCATACGCGCAACAAACCTTATGGCAATTTAATGCTACAACGTATTTGTGAGATGCCTAGTAGTAAATCTAATCAAGGTCAGTATTTTAATTCTAAACAGGAACTACTTATGGAATCTTTTAATGCCAACGTAGATTGCCCTAGTAGAGAATAACAAAAATATTACGCCAATAACTTTTGCATAATTGGAAAACTCACGTCCGTGGGCTGAAACTAATAAACCGTCGCATTAATTGGGGGGAAAAAAGTAGAAGATGATTTCAACTTTATTATTTATGGATATGAGAATTATATGAATCCATATTAGAGTTTACACCCATCACATGGTATAATAAAAAACATCTGCTAAATTAAGATGTAAACAGTTAAAAAGAGAAGAAAATCATTAAATTTAAACAGCAATCCAGTATATTCTGGAGGATAGTTGCTCTACGAAAAATACAAAAAGGTTCTACCGTGCATGAATAACCTACTCACTTAAAGTCGTATCCATGCAATTGCTGCATAACTTCAGGAGCCATCCTGTGAAACCATTAGAAGAATTTTATTAGTACAACAAATAGGATGGGTGAAGGTTCAAAACTGAGAACAAGTCCATAGTTTATGCACTAGAATCCAAAAATAATAATAAAAATATCTGTTAACTAGACTGGGTGGTAGGTTGGCACCAGCATGGCGTTCCAACAAATGTATTTCTTGCATGTCGTCTATCACCATTATCAAACAAACTTGCTGAAACACCAAAATCTGCTAATTTCACTGAACCTTTTGAATCGACCAATATATTTCCAGCCTGCAGATATTACAGTAATAAGGTATAATAGATTCCACGAGTGTTTATGTATTCCAATTCATGTAAACAAATAAGAAGCACCAACAACCACACATCTCATCAAAGTAACAACGAAAAAATAATTATTAATCTTTTAGGAAAGTAACCATATAAGCAACTAGACATACCAAGTTAGTGTTCATGCATGATTAAGTAAAAAGTTAATCATTTGTCACTATAGCTGTTAGAGCTGGCTAGATGTGTACATGGTTACATTTCTCTGTATCTCCTACGACAAAATTAACTGTTTCACAACGATACCTTAACATCTCTGTGAATAAGCCCATGGGAATGTAAATACACAAGAGCTTTCAGAACTCCAAACAACAGTGTTGCAATGATAGGCTGCTCAAAACCATTTGGATGAACAAATTTCATTATGTGAACACACGATCCACAGGCCATGTAAGGCGTCACAATCCAAAGGCTTGTGCCAGCTGTGAAAGAGCAGTGTGCCTTCAGTAGATTTGGATGGTCCAGCAAACTCATTGTTTGTACTTCGCGCCGAATAACATCCTATTTTAAATTTAAAAAAAAAAATCTCAAACAGCTCATCAAAAGATAGAGCAAATCAATAACTACACTGATAATAAAGTCATATATCAATATAGAACATGAACTGAAACTGTGAAACTGCTAAATTGTAAAACACGTAAAACATTATTTTAGCTAAAACTAGCGTTAGGAAATGTGAACAACAACCAAAGATACCAAAGCCAAACAAGAACAAACATGTTGTGCAACAGCAGATAGAGTAGAGTATATACCAAGCCATTATTGCATTTCTCCAAGTCCAAAATTTTGATGGCAACAATCTCATCAAGTGGGATGCAGAGAGCTCTACACACACTTGCACTAACTCCTTTACCAACTTCTTCATACAACTTGTAATCCTCGGGCTTAACTGGAAATCTCTTAGTTGATAAATGTTCCATTGTCGCTTCCTTATAAGATATCTTCAAGACCCTCCAATTGCTCCTATAATTACAGCTAGTAACAATCAAAGTATTGAGAAAGAACTCGTTTATCCAAATTAGCACCTTACTTTGAAATTTAAGTATTGATTAAGCAGTTTCCGGCATAGATGAACTGATTATCCGATGGTTCAAAATAGCAATGTGTATATATAAATATATATATATATATAGATATATGTGTGTGTGTATATATTCAATATATATTTGCTTTCGTATTGGAGTCTCTTCGATTATAATTTTTCAGATTCTAATCCTCAATATATTTGCTTTGCAAGTGTGTTTCGATTTCAATTCCTGACTATGAACCCTAATCAACCAAAAGGAAGCAAATTTAAACGCAAAATCCAAGTATTTTCAACAATTCGACATCAAAAGGTAGAGAATTTGGAAAATAAATGACCGGAGATGGAAAAAAAAAAAAAGGGCAAACGAAAGCACTGAACAGAAGCAGAACACGAACCTAACGAGAGTTTGGGAAAAAGGGAAAAAAAAAAGGAAAGAGAGATGGATAGATCCTGACTAGTGGAAGAAAAAGCTCTTCAAGTTAAAAGGAAGAAGACGAAGTAGAAGAAAAGGGAGCAGAAAAGTGGAGAGTGATGAATCCAATGGCGTGGTTTCGACGAGTCCGCCATTGATGAAGTATGAAGAATCTTCAACGGTTCTCTCTTTTCTGTCTCTTCAGTGGCGCCGATTTCTGTTTACCTCTTTCGGTTTTTCTTATCTTTTTACCATTCTACTGCAGCAATTGGCCACTAGGATGACATTGGTGTGTCAAAAAAAAAAATTTTCCTTTTTTCTTTTTTTTTTTCCTAAGATAATAAAAAGGAGTTAGATTCACAACAAATTTTGTCCAATATTATGAAAATTTTCCCCAATGCTTTTTCCAATCTTAACACTCTCTTGACTGAACTTGATTACTTTTCAAAAGGGGACCTTAATTATGCTCATAAAACCTTTAAAATGATAAATATTAGTTTAGACTGCAAACATATATATGAAAAAAGCTTTACCCTTATCTCAAAAAAAAAAAAAAGACAACGATTTTAACGTTTAAATATTGTATTAACACCTTAATAGTTGGGGGACAAGACCACAATTTTATGCATATTTTAATGACTAAAGTGTTTTTTTATCATTTTAAAAGTAAGATGTATGAAATATCTTTCAAAAAAAATATAGTCAAATAAGCGTCATTTTAATTAAATTCGGTCAAAAAATGCCACTATAGTATTAGTAAAAAATAAAGTAACTAATGACTTCAAGGAAATAAATAAATTAACTCTTCTAAGAATGTCATTATTTTTTCTTTCCGTAAAAGAACTTTATTCATGTGTTTTGGATCACTAGAATTGCAATGTATAAAAACTAGAAATGGAGGAATTCAGGAAAGCGTAAATGTTGTACTTTGACGTTAATATGTTTTTGTTGTTTGCGTTTGCTAAAGAGGGGTGTCTTTTTTTGAAGGAAAAAAGATAGATGCGTGTTATTGCTTTTTTTTTTTCAAAATAAAAAAAAAAAAGGAGTCTCATTTATGGGAATTATAAGTTAAATCTCATTTTACTTTTTAATTTTTAAATTTTTCATAACAAAGTTCTCAATCTATTAAAAAATTTTAAAATTACTCATTATACTTATCGGACTTTTAAAATCTCAACAATAAAAGTCTCGTGCGGAGCTTGTATATTTTAGTGGAAGTTAATTCTATAAATTTACATATAATACTATTATTAGAAAAATAATATTTTAATTTGGGACTTTAGTATGTTGGGATTTTTGAAAGTCAATAATAATTAAAGGATTATTTTTGTAAATGTCCGCTCAACTATGTATCTTATTTCAAAATGTCATGTTAAAACATCTCTTTTGGAGTTCCCAACTATGGCAAGTCTTACAACGTTTTTTTTTTTTTTTTATATAGACTAAATTTGGTTTGGTAAAATGATGAAATCATTGTTGTTGATTATGCTTGTGAATATTAAAAAGTAAAAAAAAAAATAGTTGTGAAAATCATAAATATATATGTGCAATTTGTAATGTGAAGATTAAAAAAAAAAAAAAAAAGGGAGCAATCTGTAATATGAAAACGAAACAAAAAACCAAAACAAAACTTCGTTTAAGAAAGAATTTCAAAACGAACGGATTTTATAGAATCTGTAATGGGGAAAAAGCCTCTAAATTCATTCCAATCCTTCCCCAATGTAAAAATACTAAAAAAATTACCAAATACAAAATTAGTTACCTTATACCTTCAACAGCCATAGAACCTTCTACCAGCATTTCTACTGATATTTACAATACGAATTACCTCTCGACTTTACAATCACACAGCCTAAGTCCAAATCCAGTTGATTCAACCTCCGAATTTGATTTCCCACCATTAGAGGGAGCATGTGAATTACTTCCATGGTCTAAACTTTGCCATAGTTGGCTTCAATTGAAACTTCTATATACAGAGGAGCTTGGTATTCTTTTTCTTTTTCCTTTTTTTGTTAAAAAGATGGAATTAGAGTTCTTAATAGGAGGTTTTTAATGATTTGGGGGAAAGGGTATTAGGGATCGTAAAAAAACACGAACTACCATGCCACTTATGCATTTTCCGTCCATTTAATACACAGATTTAGACGGAGAGGATTATTTGACACGTTTTTTTATAAATTATGGGGTGTTTTGACATGTTTTATAGAGTCGGTGGCATTTTAAAACAAAGTACATAATTTGAAAGACATTTATAAAAAAAAAAATCTATAATAAATCAAAATAAGATTGGGCTTATAAGGAGACTAGAAATGAGTTTAACGCATGACACATGAGGGTTTAAAATGAAATGTAACACAAGAATGACATGTGGATGTTTGAAGAAAGATCAAATAATTAGGAAAAAAAAAAGTATACCTAAATAATCTATACCTACATTTAAAGAGTTAATGGGGTTCTAAGCACCCGTTTAGTTCAGTAGTTTGAATTTTGTTAATTTAAAATTTTTTATGTAAACAAAAAAAAATTTTAATTGTGGTTTAAATTATATTTGAATTGACATTTGGACGTGCGAATAGGAAGAAATTGAGAAATTTGTAGAATTTATCTTTAATAGTATATGGACCTATTTTTTTTATCCTTTATTATTGATTATTATCCTTTTGTTATTATTATTTGACTAAAATGGTTTTAGTCAATAGTAAGAGATAAAAAATATGGTTCATGCACTTTTAAGGAGTATTTGTCTCCTTTATCTGAAAAAAAAAATCTCCATATTTCTCTATTTTAATTCTTTTATTAAAATTTCAAGGAAAAAAAATCATTTTACCAAAAACATTTGCAGTTACAACCTTTAACTATAAAGAAGTTTTCCATTTAGAATTAGATCTTATGACTATAAATAAGTTTTTGAGTAGGGATGACAATATTCTCTACGAGACGGACTCCGCCCCAAACGGAGTAGGAATGGGGGACAATTATCATGGATGAAGATAGGGGTAAAATTTAGTCCCCGATTCGTGGCGGTGTGAGGACGGGGAAAGTATTCCCCACCCCACCTCCGCCCTCATATTAATGTGCATCTATGCAATGAAATTTTATGTTATTATGAATAGACAATGATGGATAATTTACGTTTATATTTTGACGTTCTTAAACTTTTTTTTGTTTATATTTAATTATTACTTTTAGATTCAATATGCAATGCATAAAGAATTCAGTTTTATTATAGAACTTTGATTTTTTTCCAAATTATAATAAATTTCTACTCTATTTTTATTTTATGTTACTATAATATTGAAATGCATAATCCTCTGCCATTAGAAAAGGTGGCGGGCATGGGAAGGCTGGTCCATTAAAAAATCCTCAATTCTAACCTCGCCCCTTCTTAAGTGGAGACGGAGATGAAGATGGAGATAGTTTAAGGGATTAGAGATGAGAATGGTATTTCATCCTCTACCCTCACCCCGCTCCAGTACCATTTATATTTTTGAGTAGGTCTCGCTGCACTAATCTCTAGGGGAAGGACTAATGTTTTCTCTAAAAATAGTCACCAATGCATCATAATTTTTTCCCCAAAATCAAGGCATCCTAATTCATATTTATTTATACTAATTGAAACCTCATGCTAGATTTTATAAATAATAATGGAAATATATTTATTAGGATCTAGAAATAAAAATGAAGAATATATAATAGGTAAAAAAAGTAAAAATGAAAAAGGGGAAAATAAAAGAGAGGAAAAAAAGAAGGAGAGTTAAGAAAAAGTGTTTTGTTATGAGAATAAAAATCACAAAAGATAGACAGAGATGTGTATAAGAATAAATTATTTCAACTGATAATTAGAGAAGAAAAATATATTTATGAGGGTCAATTTTAAGAAAGGAAAAAAAAAAGTGAAATGAGTTAAAAAAAAAAAAAAAGGAGGGGAGACAAAAAAATGAGAGTGGGACCGGCTAATTGAAACTTTTCATGCGAGACGTTTTGGAGATTAAAAAAAAATCCACTCTTAGATAAGTAGATAGACACCCAGATAGATAGATGTTGTACAGATGTTATGTTTCCAGAAAATTCATAACCCGTGTTCTTTTCTATGGGTCATGGGCCGCATGGACAAGCGATAATGTTTCAAGCCCAACCCACTACCCCGAAAGGCAACTCAAGCCCATTGTCACTCTTCCTTTCGATGGCCATCCATGTGCCAATTGACCAAACCATTTGAAAAAGCAGTAATACAATTTTGGGGCTGTTCTTTTGAGTTAAGTATAAATTATAATTTGAGTTAAAATTGTAATTTGAGTTTGTGTTTAGATGTACACATTTGAGTTATGATTTGAATTGAGAATCTTTTTGAGTTTGTGTTTTGGTGAGTTAAAACTTAAATTTGTATTTAGATAGTATTTTAATAAAAACGCAATGGTGATGAAAAATTTTAATAGAGTATTCGTCTTTTTATTATGGTATTTTTAAGAATAAAAAAAATATTGTTCATTAACTTAAGTTCGAGTTTATGAACTCGAGTTGAAGTGAAAACTTGAACTCGAGTTTAGGGCTAAACTCGAGTTTAAACTCAAATTTTATAAGAAAACATAAACTTGAATAAAATTGTAATTCGAGTTTAAATTTTTTCTGAGTTTCATCACAAAAGAACAACCTGATTCTCGCTGTTTACGTACTAAAAATTGGTTGGGGAGTTGGGGTTATTGTTAACTGTTTCATATGTCTTTGGCCGAGAAGAAAAGAGAAATCCAAATCCCAACTCAACAGAAAAGGACGCTACCTAAATCCATAACCGGCAAGTAATTGCCGGTAGCTAGTGAAGCATTTGAATTTGATGGTACCGTGGCCTACTAATAACACACACACAGAACTGTCGTTTTCTTGGTCCCTTTCATTGGTCGCATCATGAGAAGGCAAATTATGCACGCGCCGGGCCAAGCTTTCCCTTATTCATAATTTGATGGTACCGTGGTGGCCTACTAATAACTATACACACACACACACGCACAGAACTGTCGTTTTCTTGGTCCCTTTCATTGGTTGCATCATGATAAGGCAAATTATGGAAGCTTAACTTGCCTAGATCAAACGGGCTTAATTGAAATAAAATATAGCCTATTTTTAGTGCTTCATTTTGTTTCCATTTAAGTACATAAATTATAAAGAAATCTCTCAAATTATAGCAGTTAAGCCATTCACTGGAAAGTGAGGTTGCAATCTGTCCAATCGTATTTTAGTATCAACTTTTATGTGGCGTAGATTAAGCAGCAAAAGAAAATAAAAATTGTGGCATAGGAAAAGTATTTTAATTTTCTAAGAATGGAAAATTCAAAAAGTACGACAAATCAAAAGCGCAGATTTTGAACACCAAAACCATATATTTTTTTTTTTGCTACTTGCCTTTCGGCCTAAAGGGCACGTGCTTCTTCATTTCCACTGACTTGGTCAATTCCAAGAAAACTTTTTTTGACTTTTTTCGGTAAGCTTCTCTATCAGTGGACTAGTTTTTTTATTGTTAAACTGTATAAAATTATATTAAATTAAAAAAAATATGCATAATAAATAATTTTTAATATAAATATATATAAAATCTTAACAAATTATATAATATAAATAATTTTTAATATAAATCTGATAATTAAAAAAAAATTATTAGTAATTTATTTTTTATAATCCTATTAAAAAAAATCTCATCTTTTTCTTTTTTCTTTTTTTTTTCGCAAGGTGGCAAAACTTGAACTAATTAGAAAGATGGTCTCGTTTTTTTTTTTTTTTGGCGTAAAAAAGAAATGGTAAAACATGGACCAACTAGAAAGAGGAAAAAGAGAATTGCAACTTGCAAGCAAATTTATGAGCATGTGAAAAAAGAGTTCGAAAAGTTAGGCCCCGTTCATTTCGTTAATTCGAATTTAGAATTTGAATTTTTTTACAGTAAAAAACTTTCACAAATAATCACATCTAACTTTTTTACTATAATAAAAAACTCTTATATAAAATTATATTTTAATTCAAATTAAAAACTCAAATTAACGAATTAAACGGACCTTAGTTCTAAATCCATAGAAGCTTCTCTTCCTTCTTCATTATCCAAAAATTTGACTCTCATTATTGCATTAATATTGTTTTGCGCCAAAACTTTGACCAAAGTTTCTTGGGGATTGCGTTGGCTGCTTGGCAAGTATCACAACGAAGACTGGCTGTATTACATCCACCTGGGATTTGTCAACGGGTTTGGCTTGGAAAGCATAAAGCGTGTGTGCAGACGTGGGCGACAATAAAAAGGTTGTTTTGTTGACTTTTGACTAGAGGATGTTAAGTACAGGGATTCGTTCTCTGATTCGAATCATAATTCATGATTCGCTACAGTATTTTTTTTCATAAAAAATTTATGTAAATCAAAAATAGTTTAAATCACATAGTTTAAATCCTCAAACCAAACGTCCTATAAATAGTTTAGATACTTGATCAGAATCCTTAATCCATAAGTTCAATTATTGGACTTAGCTGGTATTTCATCTAGAACAACAAGAAATTCAAACGTTAAAACAATTATATAATGCAATTAGTAACTTACAATTAGGAAGTTGAACATGACAAATTTTTTTTTTTTAAATTCTCGCAATGGAAAATGGAAATCAAAGTTGAATATTATTATATAAAAAGTGGATTTTGCAAATGTGATGATGCACTGAGGAAGAGTACTTTTTTATTACATAATTCACGAGACGTAACTAAAAAAGGATGGCACATTTATGGGTAAGAAAACGACATGGAGTGCTTGTTGCAATCAAGCCATAATTACACCTTTTTTAATTTAATTATAGAAACTTTTCTGAAAACGAGTCAAAATTTTATTTTAGAGGGCATAAATTAAAAATACAAAAGAATTATAGCTAAGAATATCAAAACTCGTGACACTATTAACTAGCTGGAAACACATTCTAGAAACATGTATATCAACTTATTTAATTTTTTAATATGTGAATTAAATTTTTGAAGATTTCAAATTTTCTCCTATCTCTAAGGTGTATGACTTTAACAATGACAAATTAGATAAAAGATGTTTATGGGGAAATAGTAACTAAGAGTGTTACTTGGAAAAAAAAAATATTAATTAGATATACATTTAAGAAATGTTATTCTAGTAGATCATTTTCTTGTGGAGCTCAATTTTGATATAATAAAGAGCACATGAAAATATATTTTATAAGGGATAAATTTGAAAAAAAAAAAAAAACTACAGGTGGAGTTAATTAAAGAAAAAATAATTTAATTAGGTACACTAAAAAGTATAAAATTTAATAGAAAGGGACAAAAAAAAAAAACAAATCAAAACAACCAACAAGTAAAAAAAAATTATTTAGATTGGATTTAATGGAGATATTTTGAAATTTTTATAAATGAAAGGGGGTATATATGAATGTTTTTGAGAAGTTATAGGGTAAAATCTTAATAACCAAAAATTCAGGGGGAGCATATGCTCCCCGGGCCTCACCTGCCTCCGCCGGTGCCTACACTAAATAAAATAAAAAGCATCAGCAGCAAATAAGCTCTTAAATATTTTAAGATTTCATTAGTCTATTTTTTTTTCCATAATATTGTTACATATTCAATACGTATGAACAAGATACAGATGCAAATATTTTAGCAAAAAAAAGATATAGATGCAACTACACCTTACTTTTCAAGTAGAAAAGGTTCATAAATTTTTTGCTTAACGATAGATAAGAATTATTAATAAAAGTACATAATTCGACAAAACTATTAACTTAAAAACAACATTGTTCCAACAAAATGCAGTTTTTTGTTTTGTTTTGTTTTGAGACACAATTAAAGACAACAATTGTCATTGAATTATTTGTAACTAATAAGGTTTCAATATTAAAGTGTTGTTTGGCACTCTGCAATTGCATGCCTCTTTCCCGTTACATCATCCATGAGGTTATGCGCCTCCATCCCGGAATCTGATCCTTGCCCAACAAGCTTTTGCTTCTTATTTATCTTTTCTTTTATAATAAAAAAATAAAAGGTCAGACAATTACTAACGTCAGAGCCTTCTAGATAACCTACCAAGAAACGATCGAGAACGTGACAGTCACAGAAAATCACCGCGTGTGTGTGTGTGTATGAACACGTGTTCCGTATGGAGCAAGCATCACAAATACCACCCTCAACTAACGTCCGTCATTTATTTATAAACCAAAACAAACAAAAAAAAGGGAAAGAAAAACGACCGTAAAATAAATAAATAAACATCGCCGATATTTCCACCAACCTGCCAACAAAGTTCAGCCTCTTACGTGCCTCTCTAGTTACCTTGTCTCGCCTACTTATACATACATATATATATATATATATATAACTCCATAAGCAAGAAAAACACAATTATTTTCTGCGTTGAGATTTCAAACGTCGTCTTTATCTCTCTCCTTCCCTACCCCAACCAACCACTTGCATTAAACTCAGAGCAATTTCAAAGCACCGTCCAGTATTATATAATTGTGTGTGTGTCTATATATATATATTGTTTCGTGTATTTGTGTTCTTGGTTTATTGAAGAGAGAGGAATTTGATTGATTGAGCTGGGTTTTGGAGAAAATGCAAGCGAGTTCTGTTTTACCTTTGTCTCCGAATTTCAAGTTTTACGGTTTTCCAAAGGATTACGCGGATATTTCTTCTAAAATGGCCGAGGATTTCGGCGAGAAGCTCAAAATCGGCGGTTCGGAGCGCCAATTGAAGGAGGAAGAGGAAGAGCTTGGTTTGGAATCTGCAAATTTAGAGGAGAAGGAAGATTTTGATGATGAGGAAGAGGAGGAACAAGAAGTAGAAGATGAAGGAGAGGAGGAAGAGGAGGAACAAGAAGTAGAAGATGCAGAAGAGGAGGAATTTTCTTTCGTTTGCACGAATCCTGACGGATCGCCGATTTCTGCGGATGATATATTTCAGAACGGCCAGATCCGTCCGATTTTTCCCATTTTTGATCGGTCTCTCCTCTTCTCCGACGGCGATTCTTCCAAGGCTTCGGATGTCTCTTCTCTGCGGCCGCCGTTGAAGAAGCTCTTCGTCGAAGACCGCGAGCCTCCGTCGTCTTCCTCCTCCTCCGAAGCCGACGAGCTGGAGGGAGTCCAGCCGGGGACGTACTGCGAGTGGTCGAAAAAGGCGGTGGATGCCTCGCCGGAGCTGAGGAAGAAGAGCAATTCCACGGGATTCTCGAGGTTATGGCATTTCAGAGACCTAGTCGTGCGGAGCCACAGCGACGGCAAGGACGCTTTCGTGTTCCTAAACCCTAACTCCGCGAGCGCAAAGCAAAGCGTGGAAGCGATTAAGAAAATGGCGAAGGCTGAGAAGAACGAGAAGCCGGAGAAGGAGATGAAGGTCGCCGCCGCCTCCGGGGAGGCGACAGTGAAGACCAAGGCTAAGACGAACAGAGGTGAAACGACGTCGTCGGCTCACGAGAGACATTATGTGAGGAATAGAGCGAGGAAGGAGGAGGATAAACGGAGGTCATACTTGCCGTACCGGCCAGGTCTCGTCGGTTTCTTCACCAATGCGAACGGGTTGAGCAGAAATGTTCATCCTTTCTGATAATATTCTTTTTTTGTTTTTAAGATAACTTTTCGCGGAAATAGTATTGGTTAATTTATTGATGTAAATGGTTGGAGAATACTAATCTTATCTTTTAGGATTCTGGATTTGGCGTTCTCGGAGGCCCATATAGCATGATGTTATTTTTCAGATTGTAAATTCGATTATAATTAGTTCTTAGCTGTTTGTAATGCTTTTCTCACTGAGAAAAGGGCAAAAGCCAAAAGGCCGATGTCTATTTTTAAATTTTAATAATTTATGTGCAGATAATCTTTCATTACCATCTCTTCCGCGAACTTTTTTTTTTTTTTGGGTGATCTTTTCTGCGAAACTTCGTCAACTTTCTATAACGTTAACTCACCGTGTATTTGATTCCTAAGGTCTTCAAAACTTCAAAGAAATTTCCTCTGAGAATTGGGATTTGGGGTAAATGCGGTACAATTTGTGTGGTTATTCACGGAAAATACAAGTATTTTCATCAACTTTTTTTTTTCCTATTCTTTTACTATTATTCATTTAACAATGCAACTAAACGCATTCTGAATTGCACCAAATATTCTTCTTAAAGAAAAAAGCGCCCAATGTTAAGGTGTAGGCCGTGCATTTTAAGCTTGAGCATTAGCAAATGTGGTGCAATTGTATTTTTTAGATTAAGTGATAATTCTTTTTATCTTAATGAAAATATCACCACCAATCGGTTAGGGACGATAATTAATCGCGGACTCATTTACTTGCAAGGTCCTACAAGGACCTGTCTTTAAATAACGTGGGTTAATCCCGTCTAATTAACCTGTCTAATTAGGTTCATGTTGTATATTGATTACAATCATAAACTTTGTTGCAAAATACAAGAAGGGACAGGTTTAGAAGTCTCCGACCTTAAACCCGAACCTCTTTGTCGTTTGCCATCCCTCTTCCCTACCGCCGGGAGGCAAACATCCTGTCATTTTTTGTTTCCTCTCTTAATAAATGCACTTTGTGAGAATTTACGCGTATTCGGATGAAGGGATTTTATCAATTACACCGCACCAATTGATGGCTCTCCATTTTTTATGCAGAGACCATTTAACGTTTTCTGATTTCTGAGAATGAAATAAATGCGTGAATGCTGTAGGATCTGTTTAATTCGCTGATTTAAAATTTTAATTTGAATTGAGATGTAATTTTATGTGAGAATTTATTATTGTAATAAAAAAATTAAATGCAACTATTTTTTAGAGTTTTTTACTGTAATAAAACTCAAATTCTAAATTTAAATCAGTAAAATGAATAGAGTGATAAAATATCCTTAATAAAATATGCTGTAGGCAATTGGGACCCTCTTCTCCGACATGAATTTATGTAAGTTAATTATTGCTAAAAGTTCCAAAGGTAACCAGAACTAGCGTTCACAAATTACAATACAAAAATCTCAAATCATAATGGTCGTTGGGTAAAGGAGAAAAAATCTTCTCGTTTTATATCCTCCAAAAATCCACGGCCGGAGGTTCAGAGTCAATAACATGAAGGACAGTACGGAAACTTGCCTTTGTCAAAGATCTTAACAACCATAGATGACCAAGCAGCTACAAGTCAATCAGAATCTAATGATAATCCACAAGCCAGGCGAGAAGATGTACATCAACTTAATTTTGATATTTCCCAAGACTATATGCCCGTTTGAGAGAGCTTCTGTTTTTACTTTTAAACGGTAAAAAAAAAACATAAATTGAGATTTTTAGAGTCTGTTTGGTTCATGAATTATAATTATTTTTAATTTATATGTATTTTTATGAGAAAAAATACTGTAACGAACTATGAATTATAATTTGAATTAGAGAACGAATCTTCCAACCAAACGGGCTAGTGTTTAATAGTGTATAGAAAATAACTTTTATATATATATATATATATATATTTCAAATGAGCTTTTGAGCATTTTTTTTAAATAAAAGTAATATAAAACAAGCATATGATGGATTTCTTAAGAGACGTTTAGTTCATGGATTATAATCATGTGATTATAATCATTTTTAATTTACATGTAATTTTTATGAGAGAAAACACTGTAACAAACCATAAATCATGATTCAAATTATAATTTAAATACTACAATTAAACATCCTCTTAATTTGTTACTAATAAAAGGGTTAAAAATGTAAATGAATGAAAAGACATTTCATAAAACTCTTTTTTCACAACAACCTAAGAGGTGACTTGGGTTTATAAAAGTCAAAAGTACTTCTATGTTGTCAATCCAAAGTCCAAATAGTCTCAAAGGCAATTTCTAAACAAAATAAGCCAAAGTAATTTTTTTTAAGCCAGTCCATACAGGCTCATAATGTTTCCTCATCATTAAGATTATTCTAGGCACGTTGTTTTGTCCTACGGGTTTTATAACCATTTTAATTAAATTTCAACGGTGTGATCTGTGAGTATCACATTGAAAATAGTAATCTTACTATACGGAAGTGTTCCCGCTCATAAATCAGACGTTTAAAATTTAATTAAATGGATTAAAAAAACTTCCCCTACCGTTGGCAAAACAACATATTCTACCATAGAATTCACTCTCATATTGTTACATATTCACAGTTGCATGTACACTTAGTATTATAATCCAGCCAAAGAAACAAATAAAAAACAAACTTATCAGCCTCTGTAAGCTGCGAAAGTTAACTTGGATTATAATTCTTTTCAAGTGATATCTGTCAGTCCATCAGCCACGCACACAATCACCGCAAGTCAAAAATTTCGAACCTGATATTCGAATTCTTGTACACATTGTCGCAATGCTCATAGAGGGGGCTCCCATTTTCTGTTTCCTTGTGAGGATGAAATCCTTCCTCTTGGCACTCTCTCAGGACACTCATCCCACCAGGATCAGTTAGCCTAAATATTCCATAGCTCCTGAGGATTGCCCAGAGATAAAAACCCTTGACATATGCATGTGAAAATATTTACCATCGACTGTTAAAATTACATGGATTTTCCAGGAACTTAGCATTAAGAGTCATTACACAGAATACTATTACCTCGTTCATTTCACCGATTTAAGTTTTCAGTTCTAGGTTTCTACAGTAAAAAGCTCTCAGAAAATGTCACATCTAACTTTTTCTGCTACAGTGAAAAGCTCTTAGAAAATATCACATCTCAGCTTGAATTGAAAACTTGAATCCGCGAAGTGAACGAAGCCTATGAATACAGCTTGGTGCCTTTTCTACAACTCGCGAAGTAGTCACATACATTTCAAGAACTACCACCCCATTTTCTCATTAATGGTGCTGCCTAGTAGACTCGGCAAGAAAGTAAAGGAAAAATTATTATGGAAAGCTATAGGTAGCAATGCAACATTACTAAAAAAAGCGCAAACAGCAGAAACGAAAGGCCGTGCATAGAAGAATAATAATTCGACCGAAATAAGGTGTTAACATTAGTCAACAATGGTAAACAGACAGTGGGAGGGTGATAAAGCACATTGGAAAAAGTAGTAAGAGACCACATGATAAATTGCTCAAGAGAAAGTTTCACCAAACAATTTTGCATTTTTCAAGAATTGTTAGTAAACTGAAAAGTAAAGCAGTTTCACACCTTGAGGTATCTGTTGGTGCCATGACAATGGCAAAAGCCTCCGGTACCATTACCTGAAAATTAAAATGCAAAAAGTAATAGTCAGACTTAATCTTAATCACCATATAGGGAGGTAGAATAATGATGATAATGATCGTTACAAGTCGGATTCATAGCTGTCAAAAATAATTATGAAGGAAGTTATTGTTGTAGGAGCATAGTAGGAAGAGAGAAATCAGATATTAAAAGGAATTAATATAATCAAGTCAAACCCAAGTGGCAATAAAACCTAAAACTACCAAACTTTTGTACTTATTAGATGAAAATTGAGAAGGGAGACTTTTTGGATTTATGGGAAATGTCAACCCTAATCAGTCATAATCCTACTTAAGTTTCCCCCCCTACAAAAAGTTTCTCTTTTCTTTAGCAATATTTCAGCTATTTTCATCTTATTAACTTTCTGTTCAACGAAAAGAAGACCATCATTTTAATAATTTTTTAAAGCCATCAATGAGCAAGTACGGAGGTATTTATGCCAAATTCCTAGTTTGTAAGATCAACTAAACATGCCACTGTGGTGTTAGGAGGAGAAGATTAATGACAGCGCAATAAAGTCATACTTGTTTTGGTTGAAACAACACAGATGTTTTCTAAACAACAAAAGAATTACTAATTTCGATTAGTCAATTACCTGGTATGAGAATTGAGTATGCAAGTCTACTGATGACATGAAACAACTTTGTGTAGGATGTGTCTGAAAATAAGAATAAAAATTAGGTGGCAGAGCAAAGAACTGTTAAATTGCATGAGCATAAGCAACTCAATCCATACATGGATCCATCCCACAGGAAAAAGGGAATGTTCATTTTGTATGGTGAAAACTTCCTCCTCATTTGAAGCCTGACACTGCCATATATTTAGCAACAAACACAAATGAGATTGGACCCTTAAAAGAAAAAAGGTAACAAAAAGTACATCCAATTTAGACTAGTGAAAAAAAGAACTCAGATTCTTACAGAACTTGAAGTAGATTCCTGTTTGGGTATGATCAAAGTGGTTACATAGAATATATTCTTCTTCTACACAGTTAAAACAAAAGTATCTTAGCTGCAACAGAAGAAATGATTGTTGGCATTTCATAAACCTCATACAGCAACAACAAGGTTAGACTAATACTTATCAAAATGTACAAAAAAATATAAATCTTACAAACGAAGCACCGAGAACCCCACAAGTCTCCAAATCCTTCTCTGTGTTCTCCTTAGCAAGCTCAAGGAAATCCTCCATTAGTCGACCTGACTGAGAAGGATATAACAATTATTTCTCAAGTGATCTCTTTTGAATACCGAACATGGTGAATTCTCTAATAAGGTATGACACAATTTTAAACCTTCAGATCTTCGACAAGTCCATCAACTTGTCACTCTTTTCTTAATCTAACGTGATACTGATGTGATATGACAGTTCAGAATTGTGTCCTATTGACAGAGAATTCTCCACCAAACATTTAGATAGAATAGACAAAATGGTCACTATATCTTAGCTAACCAAAAGCATATTTGGATACATAGTCCTTTCCATATTGTAACTGATGTTGAAGCTCAAAGTTCTTACAATATGCACATCTCGGAGGGCCTTAGATGTGGATGCCTCTTTATTACATGACTTTGAATTACCATCTTCCGAATTAGCCATTTCAAGGTGCGAAATATGATCATCTTGAGTCACATTTTCAACGGAGGAGATAATAGGAGAAGGAAAAGAAAGAGTAACCGCATCAACTTTGGTATGCTGATCAGATAGATTTGGTGTTCTGAAAAAGGTTGGGCAACAGTATTCTGAGCAACGAATGCCAGAATCATCTGAACAGAAAGAAGCCAACCCAACGTTCTCCTCTTTAATGATTCTCATGCTATAAGATATTAAAAAGAATAAAATTACAAAAAAAATGAGAAAAACTGTGCGCAGAAATGATGATTTATGAAATTGAATACTGCAAAAATGTCACAAAAACATGGACAGCAGTGAAGTAATTAGCAAGTGCTTGAAATAGTTGAAGCCATTAAATCAATAACCAGAAATCATTGGTTAAATTCAATGGTTACCCACTAATCAGTAATAACTATACAAGTACAAGTATTATCAATTGCATGAATTTAGCAGGGTTTGTTTAGAGCAGAGCAAGGCCAAAAACAAAGGGGAAAAAAAATATTTTTTTCCTTCCTAACCCATCCTTTTTTTAACCCATATACGCTTTGGGCTTCTTAATCAAAGGCAGAAACTTTATGAGTTTGTCTAAAACAGAAAATTAACAGTAAACAAGTATAGGAAGTATTGGAGAAGATTAAAATTGTATATCACGATAAGAAGACAGAAACAACCTGGTTTGTTAGCTGATTGGCAAAATTCTGCGATTAGAAGTTTCTGGCATTAAACTGTCCTTTAATTTTCTTCCGTTCTATGTTTCCAAGCAAGAGCTTAAACATGACAGCACTACGTTCTGAATCTGACTTCCATTTTCGATGGCCAAACTGGGTCCCATTTTACACGCAAGCAAATCCACTCATCTTTTTTGGTGCTGGAGTATTGCGTGAAGGCATGCTCACTATATGGTGACACGTAATTTTTCTATGTTTGTCTTCTTTTTTTCTATTTTTTTTATTTTTTTTTTAAATTTTTATAAGCTTCTCTATTTGACATAACTACTTGTATTTCTTTTTATTTTATTGTCTATAACATAATCAGTTTCAAACCATCTGGCAATTTAGATAACAATACCATTCAAAATTCGCATAAAATTAGTGTATTTAAATTTATTATAAATGAGTTTGAGTCATAATCAGATTAATACGATTAACACAATTAATAAAAATGTTAGATTAGAATTGACATCTTAAAATAAAATGGCACGATTAACTATATGTATCATCTGTAATCTAATGATATATGATATAACATAAAAGCTTATATGACATATTAAATACAAATAGTGTGAATTTTAATATTTATATGTAAAATTTATTTATTTTTCTTAAAAAAAAGATAAATTAACCAATAAATATGTTAAACCCGTCTTGATCGTGTTAAATAATCATTATTATATTTGTTATTTATTTAATATATTAATTTAAATAGATTATATAAATTAACACGATTACTAAATGAGTTGTGTTTGAATTGATATTTTTAACACATTTAATAAATAAATCTTATTTAAATTAATATTTTTTGACATGATTAAAACAAATTAATACGAATACGTCTCGTTAATACAAATTATCACCCATACATGTGGGCCTAGGTTCAAACCTGAGGGTGTGGCCAGAGATTTTAAGCACCCAAAAAAAAAAAAAAAAAAAAAAAGTCTCAGTTTCAAAAGAGTAAAAAGCAGCAACATTGTTTAATAAAAAACGACATGATGAGCTACAAAAGATGCCATCTCCTGACTCCTGAGTTTTTTTTTTTTTTCTTTTTCCTGAGGTATCTTTCCAGAATCACAAAACTCCGGACGAAACGACAATAACTCTGAAAACAACAACAATGCAAAAACGACACACAATTTTTATTTTATTTTATAGAAGCCTGCATGCACAGTACAAGCAAGTCATCCAAGTACTTCGACTAGAGGCTTTCCAACACAGTCGGTTTCCACCGTAGCACACTTGACACTTGTTCTTAGAGGCTTTCCAATCCAAACTATACTGGCTATAAAGGGCATCTTCTTTTCTTGAGTACGAGTTAAGAATTTGAGTTTAGTATTAAGGAGGCTTTCCTATTTTCTATTTGATCGCTAAAGTAATTAAAGAACGAGGAGTGATGACCCTCTATTAGCCTTTAGTTACTTAGCTGTTATACTTGACCAACGTCAGCTTTATACAGTAAGATTAAGGTTTGATTGGACAATAAATCTCTATTAAGAAACAAGGAAAAAAAATACTTTACTTTTTTAAGGTCGGTCCTTACCCTATTTTTTTAGAATGGCGGACAGCTGTAGTAAAAAAATTATATTTAAATTTTTATAAAAAAAAATACTATAATAAAAAATTTAAATTGTAATTTAAGTTAGTTAAAATAACATGGCCAAAGTCTCGTGAGTCACTGAATCCAAGCCAACTTGTATATAGACTATAGCGGGGATTAGCAAAAGAACCGCATCCCGGTGCAGCACATCATCACATGAATATCCACAACTGCATTAAGACAACTTATCGGCACATTGATTGGTTTGGGCCTTGCCATGGGCTCATATAGGAGAACGGCTCCAGTTCCCGACCAATTTGTGCAAGGGTGGCCAAAGCCCCCATCTTCAAATCCATCAATGTACATATCCTGCACACATCTATTGGAGTCCGTGACCAATCTCATAGCTCATGCCTATCACCATATATATATATATATATATTGGAAATTTGATAATGAAGACTTACGTATAAATTACACTTTTTTTAAAGCGTTATTTGCCCCCTCTTATTTTAAGATTGCTTAAGAGTTTGAACAACAAATCGCTTCTAAGATATGACAAGCATTTCAAAGTGTTCCTGCACTAAACAAAAGTGAAGAAAACACAAAGAACAGAGAACATTTTTTTTCTTTTTTTTTTTTTCTGGGAATGAGAAGAGAATGAATTTTTAAGATTATTCTTTCTGAAAATGTGTTCTCTATTTATAGCTTTAATGACAACCTTTAATTACACCTGTTAGAGAAACTACAACCCAATTAGAAAGGTTATACACTATTTCTGAAAGGTTGTAACCTTTCAGAAAACAAAAAAATAAATTAATTTATTTTTTTGAAATCCAAATTAAAAAATATTATTTTAAGCATTATTCTCTACACGTGACACGTTCGCGCATAAGCGTCAAGTACCGAGTAAGTGCCAAAAACACTTTTGCTGCTCACGCCAGAGACTCTCTCGTTGGCACTTCATTAACCCACTCACATGTGTGTTGGTTTATAAAGTGCTACTCCACCCTATTAATTTTTCTATGTGGGACTTTAGTTATCAGATTTTTTTTTTTTTTTTTTTAATATTTACACTTGAACAATTCCAACAATATCTCCCAAAAATAGGGACGTGACACTAAGCAATGAATATATCACGACCACGACTCCGAAGGTATCTAAAAACTACATAAATGACATTGAAAAGATAGCATAAATTCACTTAGTTTTTAATGAAGGTAACTTAAAAAGAAAAACTACATAAATGACATTCCTCCACCAATCACTTAGCTTTATAAGTTATGGTATATATACTTAGTTTAGCGTCAAATGGGTTTATTTTAATGGGCTATTAGAAGAATCAAAATATATTATTTATTAGGTTTACAAAAGACCTGGCAAACCATGTAATTATCAAATAATTATCAGAAACAAATCAAGTATACACCTCACCCTAATTTTGGCCCTCTATTTCTACAGTTGCTAAGAGTATTTTATATTCTTAATTGTATTTTCAAATGCACGTGTCTTTATTTTTTATCTTTTCGTTGTAAATAATTTTTAAAAAAATGTGAAACGCTCCTAGATCACGGTCTTTAAAGCTTCAATTTTTGAAACGCCATTTTTTCAGTCATTCTTTCTAGAGCACTCTTAGATTTATTTGAATCATTTTTTCTTTAATAACATATTATAGTAGATAATTAGTTTTTTATTATTATTTTTAGAATCTATAGTGAATTAGTAACTGTGTTTTTAGTCCTTGAATTTTTCCGGTCAATATTTTTTGTTTTTTTTTTCTTTTTAAGTTAGCCCTATTATAGACTTTGAAAACTAGAACGAGGTGTTGTTACTCCATAAACATCATCTCAAATAGTTCTTAAAACACAGTAGAAAACCTTTGAACAGATAATCCGCGGCAAACTTAAAAGGGGGAAACGTCATGTATGGCACGTTTAGAATTCGTTTTAAAATGATTTTATTTTTTGTATGAAAATAAAAATGAAAACGTTTTCAATCTCAAACAGAAATCATTTTTGAAAATGCATTTGGTAGTTTTATTAAGAGATTATTTTCAGTGTGAAAAAATTCATTAATATCTCTCTTTCTCTCTCTCTGCTCGAGAGAGGATAAAACAAAAACAAAAAATGAAAAATGACTAAAAGTCATTTTTCATTTCTCTCTCATTTTACATTAAACCAAAAAATCGTTTTCATTTCTGTTTTTTGTCTTTATTGCGCCAAACGTCATTTTAAAAACGTTTTCAGTTTTTTCTTGAAAAACGTGAAAAATAAAAACGGGATCAATTCCAAATACGGCCGTAGTTTTCCGTATTGAGGGTTATGAAAATCAATAGCAAGAGTTAACCTTTATAAAATGTGGCTCATAGAAAACGACAACAAAATCTACATGATAAATGTCACATGGAAACTCATGAAAAAACTTATAAACGACATATAGCTTTAAGTCAAAAGGATAGCAAATTTTGCATGTAAACGACATGTCGTGTTTGGTACGCAGCAATCAACCCAAATTTTGTACACCTCCTATACAAATAACAAACCGTCATAAAGCGTTGTTCTTACACTCAAACGACAAAAACTCTCAAATGAAAAAGACACTCGTTTTTGATACAACGTGTCGTTTCCCTTGAGACGTAGCAGTCCAAACTATGAACTGACACGTCTCATACAAATAACAAATAGGCAAACAGCATGCCGTTCTTGTACTTATTCGACAAGAAACTTTCAAATATATACACACAAAAATAAGAAAAATCAGTAACTGCTCATTGAGAATCCCATTTTCCCGGTCACCCAAACATCAACCAATTAGACGTATTCTAATTTCACATTTTATACATAATTACAAAAAGGCCAATAAGAATAGTGATAAGAAACAAATGGTGCGTTTGAAACTCGTTATAAAATTATTTTATTTTTGTATGAAAATGAAAATAAGAACGTTTTTAATTTTAGACAGAAATTATTTTTAAAAATATGTTTGGTAGTTTTATCAAAACTTTGTTTTCAGAATAAAAAATTATTAATGTATCTCTCTGCTCGAGAGAGGAGAAAATGAAAACAAAAAATGAAAAACAACTAAAAATCATTTTTCATTTATCTCATATTTTATAATAAATTAAAAAATCATTTTTATTTCTATTTTTTGTCTTTCATTGTGCCAAACACCGTTTCACTCCAATTTTTATTTTTTTCTCAAAAGATGTAAAAAAAATAAAAATAAAAACAACTTCAAACACAACCAAACAAATTTGTATGTACATAATTCCTTGCCGTTGTCAGTTTTCTCAGGAAACAGACACACAAATAGTACATATCTGTAGATTGAGTCGTGTCCCATGAGTGGCTTCAGATTGAGCAAGTAAATGTGTGACATGAGATTCTCATCCCTCAGGATAATAAGTTGAGGACTCACATACTTCGCTTTCTCTATCCTTTTCGGTCAAGTTTTTATCCATACACCATATTTTTTTTATTTATGCAACTTAGCTTCCAAATCCTCTTGTTTGCGTTTCTTATTTATATTCATCCTTTTTTTTTTTTTTTTTTTTGGTTGGTGGAAAGGAAGGAGCCCAGAGTTGAAACCAAGAGATACATAAACTTGAAGCTGCAGTTCTGGTAAATTTTCTATATATATCTCTCTTCTATCTCTTTTCTCCGCGTCTAATATATGCATCTATTATAATATATGTGTGCATGTTGGTATATTTGAAGAGCCAAGAGGCAAAAGTTTCCCCTTTCGAATGTTGGCCTTCAGAGAGAAAGAGCTAGTTCATTATGATGTGCTTAGTTGGTTTACTTGGTAGTTTTTTTTCAAAGCCCAGTTGTCAAATAAACTTATATTAATAAGCTTAATTTATGAAGTATATACATATTAATTGTGAAATTACTCTTTCTTTAAGCAGAGTATATACCCGGTCATAGCCCTTATAAATATTTTAATTAAAAAGGGAAAAAAAATGTCACATATGCACTATCATACAACATTGATACTTAAGGCTATATATAAGTAATTGTTTTTGATCATTTAGATATTAATTGATCAATAATATCTTATTGTTTGACGAAAAACAATAACTTAATAAGATAATGTAATGTAATATCTGCCATCACTATTTAAAAACCACAAAGTCAGACCCTTTTCAATTTGAAACAAAAATTTAAAAGAAACTCAAAACTTATCTCATTATTATTACTTCTAATGCTGATTTCCTATTGTTGCCAACAGGTGGAAGTGGGCGCTGAGTATTAAATGGCTGGAAATTTCAAGAAGTGCATGTTGTTATGTTGCAGGGCAAAAGTCTCGGTAATATCTCCAACTTTTACATTGAACAACTCGATATCTTTTTTTAATAAAAAATAGATGTCTTAAGTCATTATTGAACCAAAACAATAGTATAGTAGTATCCCAGTCACTCGTCAGAGAAGAAAGATATGAGAATAACAAGAGCCACAATTTATAGCGGCAGATGGGCTATTTATATTTTAGGGTAATCATAAAAATATGGCAAAAAAATCAATTGCACATATTGTGGCTAATTACTTGTGTGGGTTCAACTTCCTTTCACTTATTTTTTTTCATGGCTTTCTTTTGCTGCTAAGTGTGTTTGGTTTAAAAATTCGTGTCATGATTCGAATCATGGTTCGTGACTCGTTACAGTGTTTTTTCTCACAAAAAACACACATAAATCGAAAATGATTATGAATCTATCAACCAAACTTTCTTTAGCTACTTACCAAAAAGCCAACCAAAACTTGTTATACCACGTACTCATCACATGAAAATCCAAACTTGATTCGTAGTACTACAAACCTTGTTTTAAGCACTAGACCATAAAAGAACACAAGCGGTACAGCTTTTAATTTCTATATAAGTGCTAAATTTATTGTACTTTAAGCGTAAAAATATTAGTAAACATCTTCATCAATTGTTGAAAAACTTCTTACTTGTGGCCCGCTTCGATCCAACGCCATGTAGTTGACAAAGATGAAAGATTCCACCAAATGCGTCCATTCAGAAGCTATAAAACAAATGGGGTCTTGTTCAATCCAACGTTAAACATTGTAATAATCTTTAATTTCACCTTTCAATTACAATAATGAGTCATTTTTCTTCCTATTCACCATCGTCCTTTTGCGCATTATGAGGCTATTGTCCCTTGAATCGAAAGGCACGTCACTTTGGACCATAAAAATGTTGTCTGTTCAAGATTTCACATCCATCAAATTGTGGTTAATTTCAATGCAAATATAAGTAACCGTACATGTGGTCCATTATTGTCTAGAATTCCCCCAAATTTACATTCGCGTTTTCGGACTTTGTAAAGGGTAATTGAAAAAAAATAAAATAATCAACGGCTTGGGCCTTTTTTTTTTTTTTTTTTTTTTTTAAAAAAATTTTTTTAAGAAAACGAAATTGCAAGTTGAAAGAAGCTCATCAATCATGAAAATGATGTCCACCATTTTGGAGGAAAAATAGAGATAAGGTTTCCTCTTTGTTATCCATACATTTATTCTTTATAGTTTATGGAATATGAATAGGGTCTTCTAATTGAAATCCACAATGAAACCCAGATTCATCACGACTTTTTCTTTCTCACGTCTTCTTCCTATTTTGGAGTAAAAAAAAAAAAAAATTCCTTCATTCAGATTTTTTAATATATTATCATGAGAAGGACAGTATTCATCTGGACTATATCTATATGCACTTCTGAACTATTTTTTATTTCAGGATTGAGAGGTTGTTAGAAGCTTACTCTCCGCAAAAAAGGGCAAAAAAAATAAATAAATGTAATAAAAAGTCAATAAATTATTTAATGCTAATTATTAATTTGGATCTATTAATTTAATAACTGACCTTGGTGTACCATACACCATCACCATAATTTCTTCTTTAAATAACGAATTTCATTTCTTAATTCAATAAAGAATTTGATTTCTTTATTGTAGTCATTTATGGCTGTCGTCACGTTCCCACTACCCACCACGCGGCACCCACATAATACGTTGTCGTTTGTTGACTTTTACCGGTAATTCTGCTTGCCATGACAAAGCCGGCATTTCTTATTTGTCCTAAAATAGAAAATAGTAAAAACCAAAAATAAAATAAAAAATTGACGCGTTTAGAATTAATTTTAAAATAATTTTATTTTTAATAAAAAATAAAAATAAGATTATTTTGAGAATTATATTAAGATCGCTTTTAAAATTGTATTTTGTTGATTTTTTAAGAAATTATTTTGAGTACAATATAAAAATAAAATCATGTTTATTAATTAATATATTATAATATTATTGATAAGTATTAAAAATGAAAACAGAAAAATAAAAATAACTTTTAACTGTTTTTTAATTTCTTCACAAAAATTATTCTCACTATTTTTATTTTCATTTTCGTTTTCAAAACATTTGCTAAATAAATAAACGTTGTTTTATTTTCATTTTTTATTTCTCAAAATACGTGAAAATTATTTTAAAATACGGTTCCAAACACGCACATCAACTCTCACATATTAGATATTACTGTATCACTTTTTTATTTTTTAATATACTTTTAAGGGACATTTTTTAATATGTCAACATACCGATACGTTAAGTTTTATATCCATTAAATATGAATAAAATCACATAAAAATTAAAAAATATACAAATTCAACAATTAAATCTATGAATACATGTACTTTTAAAACCCGCTTGGAAAATAAACGGAGGTGATTGGTGCTCTGTTTGACCCATCACCGTCCATCATGCCATTGATAAGACCTTTTTCTTTTATGAATTTTAAATAAATCACTTTTCTATTTTTTTTAAAGTGGATATACATTGCAATATTTTTTACTATAAAAAACCTAACTTCCATATATATAAAATTTATATTCATATAAAAAAAAACCCTGTGCCTTGTGAATTTCTTTCCAAGTCAATAATCCTATTACAAAAGTTTCCCAAAAAAAACTTCTGCCTGTTTTTGGATATACCATTACTCACTTTCCAAATATAAAACAACAAAGGTCTCTCGTTCGTTTCGCTGATTCGAGTTTATAATTTGAGTTGAGATGTGATTTTATGTGAGAGCTTTTTACTGTAGAAAAAAATTAAATGTGACTGTTTGTGAGAGCTTTTTACTGTAACAAAACTCGAATTCTAAACTCAAATTAGCGAAACGAACGAGGCTAAAGTAACCATGATTAGAGAAATACTATAAATAATGGCTCTTTGGTTCACGCTTGCAACGAAAAAGAGTTGCGTGGCAAGCTAACTCTCCTCGGAGAAAAGAGAGAAAAAGAGAGTTACTTACAGATTCTGTGGTTAATTCTCCTCAAATTCCCAGAAAAAAAGCTGTACGATCCAATCATAACCACAGGTCCGTATTTATAGAAGCTTCTTCGTATACAAATCAGATTGTAGTACACAGTACCTGAGTAATCGTCGTTTTTGTGTTTTTCTTTCTTAGATTATAGTTCTTGACCAAAGATTTCTGTACTGATCCACCGGACAAAGTATATATTTATCTCCGATCATGATAAACTACTTAGATTATGAATTATTCTAATTACATATGTTTTTATATCTAATCATATCAATGAAGTCAACTTGTTTTTCTTGATATTGTTGAATTGTTTGGATCTTTTTAACAGAAGGAAGACATGGCTACCGATTCCTTTGACGACGCCATTGCCGGACTTTCCAAGCTTATCAGGTTCTGATCTCCGTTTTTTTTTTCCCTTTTTTTAAAAAAAAAGTCCAACCAAGCAAAACCGTGTTTCCTTTTTTTTTTTCCTTCCAAAAAAAGGGAAAAAAATCCGTAATTTGCAAAGAGTTCGTGTCCTTTTCCGTCATTCCGCATTGTCTCGTACCACCCCCGTTTGGGGTTTCCAGACAAAAATGGAACTTCCATCTTACGTGTGATCCGACTTTTGCGACTGAGATCATCCCTGGGAAAAACGGCGGGTCCCACATGACGTGTTATTATTTATCAGTAAATAATTTTTGTAATTAGACAACAATTGATCTGACGGTTTTTCGGTTACAGTGAGAAAGGCCACCTCGGGGACGTCGCCGCCGCCAAGATCAAGCAGATAACGTCCGAACTGAAGTTGGCCAGTTCGGGCCGGTTCGACCCGAACGAGAGGATCCAATCCGGGTTCAATTACTTCAAGACGGAAAAATACGAGTAAGCTTCAAAGAATATGCTGTTAAAACTTAAATTCCTCCTTTTTCTTTTCTTTTTTTTTTTTTTCATTTTTCCTTTTCATTTTTTCATTTTTTTTTCATTTTTCCTTTTATCGACAATATGTCGTCTTCGAACTCAATTTGTGAAATTGTTCGGCCAATGTCCGCATAAGTTGACCTTTATTTTGTCTCTAATGGTCAATTTTATTCTATTTTCTTTCCTCCGAACTTTACTCTTGTTTTTTTTTTTTTTTTAATTTACAATAATGTTCTGCTCCACTATCAATTTAATGTTTTTTTTTTGGGCTTATATAATGATTTGCGAAGCGATACGAAATGTGTACCTACTGTACATTAAACTATTTGCTTTAAATGATAAATACGGCATTACTTTGAATTATAATCACATTTACTTACAATGCAATTCTAATAATTGTCTTTATTTTTTCTTTTATTTTTAATGAATTCTAATCATTGTCTTCAAATTACTAATTCAAGGTAAAATTAAAAAGTGGGTAAATATTCAGAGAGAGAGAGAGAAAGAGGGTAATTCTAATAATTTACTTAAGCAAAGCAAATGTTTATTGCCTTTGATGCATTTACTTAGGTCTCATTCAATTTATCAATTTAAATTTTTAATTTAAATTAACATATAATTTTATGTGATAATTTTTAATTATAATAAAAAAAATTAAATGTAACTGTTTATAATAATTTTTAACCGTCATAAAATTAAAATTAAAAATTCAAAATGATGAGATAAATGGGAGTTTATTCTTACGAAGGAGAACTTTATTTGGCTAATTGGAGATTTGGTGACAATGACCAATTTTTCAGGAAGGATCCAGAGTTGTACGGACAACTTGCCAAAGGGCAGAGCCCCAAGGTCAGTACTCAGTAATAATATTGCTTTTATCTACTACGTTATTTTCCCTATTTCTTTCACCGTATGTTTGCAGATAGTATCTACTACGTGTTATTACATTTTTTGTTTTGTACAAATTGAACTTTTCATTTCCCCGTCGTGCAAAAATACTATGTGAAGAATGTTGGACTTGACATTGTAAATTTACACACACATATATATGTATTTATGTATGGCACGCGCAGTTTATGGTATTTGCATGTTCCGATTCTCGAGTTTGCCCTTCACACATCCTGGATTTCCAACCGGGTGAGGCATTTGTGGTCCGAAACATTGCCAACATGGTCCCACCATTTGATCAGGTTTGCCAAAAACAAAAGCTAAGATAGCTATTAATTTTTGGTTTAATCATATCAACTTTTCATTTGACTTGGCTATATATATATATATATATTGGATTGGATTACTGCAGACAAAATACTCCGGAGTAGGTGCAGCCATTGAATATGCCGTATTGCATCTAAAGGTGCAAAATTTCATGTACCATAGTTTAATATATTATAATATATATAGCCTTTCTTTTTATTGGTCAACAACTTTATCGTTCACCCATCATTCGATTCTTCAATCACGGTGGCTACTTTATTAGAACAAGCAATGTCTTATCCGCTTTATTAATTTAGGATCCGTTTAGTTCGCTGATTCGAGTTGAGATGTGATTTTATGTGAAAATTTTTTACTGTAGTAAAAAAATTAAATGTGATTGTTTATGAGAGCTTTTTACTGTAGCAAAACTCGAATTCTAAACTCGAATCAGCGAAATAAACAGGACCTTAAGTTTTCAATTCAAATTAAAATATAATTTTTTTTAAAGTTTTTAATTGTAATAAAAAAAATTAAATGTGATGTATTTTTATAATTTTTAATTATAAAAATTAAAAATTAAAAATGTGAATTAGTGAAATGAAAGAGACGTATAATCACTATATATATATATATGATTGTGTGGTGGAGGTTGAAATAGTTCCAAAAAAAAAAAAAAAGAGATAATATTTTTCCATTTGATTGTTAATTTCCACACACCTAATAATACTAATACAACTAAGCCATGTGCCCACCAAACATTTAGGAGATGCTTTGCTTTCTGGAATCTTCATATTCCACTTCCAAGACCTCAGACATTGAACAACTTGTGCCTTCTCTTTTGGATACTTAATAGATATAATCCTCTTTTCCAATTATCATATCACTCGTGTTTATCTTTTTTTTTTTTTTTTTTTTTTTTTTTTATATTTTGGATAGTACGGCTCATTAATAGTATTAAATTAAAAAAAAAATAGAACAAGGACAATTAACGAGCTTAAATATTTTTTATATATGCGTGTCACTTTCCTTTTCTAGCGCAATTGGCGCTACATTTCAAGATCCTTTCTCACAAATACTGTTAGTTTATTAAGGACCCGTTCTTTTCACTGATTCGAGTTTAGAATTTGAGTTTTGCTACAATAAAAAACTTTCAGAAACAGTCACATTTAATTTTTTTATTACAGTAAAAAACTTTCACATAATATCATATCTTAACTCAAATTAAAAATTCGAATCAGTAAAGTGAACGGCCCGTAAGATTTGTCTTTCTCCTGACTAGCTAACCTTCCACCGCAAAAGAGAGAAATTTGAAAAGTGCTGGATTCCTTTTGGAAGTAGAGTTTAAAACGAGAGTGTAATTTCAGGTGGAGAATATTGTGGTGATTGGTCACAGCTGCTGTGGAGGTATAAAGGGTCTTATGTCTATCCCGGAGGACGGGACCACTGCCAGGTACGTGCATATATAAAACATAAAACTTCATTAATAATGAAAAGAAGTAACTCTTCGACCCCCGTTTCTTTTTAAGTTGGAATCATTGGATTGTTTAGTACGAAAATTTAAATTATTATGTTTGATTAGTAGATTTGTATCATAATTTAAATTATATTTCGTAGTTTGTTATAATATTTTTTTTACAAAAAATACACGTAAATTAATGATGATTCTGAATCTATGAACTAAATATCTAAATAGTGATTTTAATCATGATTTTGAAATCATAATTATAATTTATGATTTTAGGTTTAAAATTATGAATGATTCTGATTTAAAATATCACATTAGATTCTGAACCATGATTCAGGTTTATCCAAACTAAATACTGATTCTGAACCATGATTCAGAATCACTATAAACAAATACTGATTTTGAACCAGGATCTAAAATCATGATTCTGGATCCATCTACCAAACGAACCCTTATGTTCCATTTGGTATATGAGTTTAAATTAGGGTTTAAATTAGGGTTCTTAATTATAATTTTTGAAATTTAAATTTTTTTGAGAGAAAAATAATATAGTAAAACTAAAATCATGGATTTGTACTATACCAGAACTAATATACCACCAAACATCACCTTAATCTATTAGTTATAACATTTTTTTTATATACAAATTTAAATTTCAGTTAAACCCTTATTCTAGTATTATATTCTTCATCTTTTCTTTGTGGAAAGTCAAGTGATCAAAGTACATGAATCTGGTATTTTCAATCATTAAACACAGCTCAAACAGAAATTATTTATACTGTGCTGGCTTTTCATTGCTTCCAAGGGAAGGTTTCTCCTTAATCCTTATTCAATGTCATGATCATGTTATTCCCCTCACAAATACTTGTGACCTATAGATTCGCGCCAGTTCACTTAAAAAGTCTATACTGCGTTCAGAAAAAAAAAAAAAAGAAAAAGAAAAAGGTCTCTAATGCTGCATAATGAAAATAAATGCAAATATATTATTCTGAAAATAAATGCAAATAAGCCCTTCTGTTTTCTGGTGGTACCATGATTTTTTTATTTTTTTTATTTTTATTTTTTAAAGAGGCATCCAAAGAGTTTGATAGAAAGTATGATATCACTTGGAAGTTAGCGAAAATCGCTTCTCCTATGTATTGACTATCGATATATTTACTTTTATTGGAAGTTTGCGCGAGTTTCAGAGCATAATACGATTCTCTTAAAATACGTTAATGACCATGTTTGTTTCCTTCAAAATTTTGATACTTCAGAGCTATTAGCACGGCTAGTTCTTAAATATAAGCATCGTGACACTTTAGGTTCCGTTCATTTCACCGATTTAAATTTAGAATTTGAGTTTTGTTATAGTAAAAAGTTTTCAGAAACAATCACATCTAATTTTTTTACTACAGTAAAAAGTTCTCACATAAAGTCATCTTAACTCGAATGAAAAACTCAAATCAGTGAATTAAACATGCCCTTAATATCTGAGTTTTGTTGATAGATACTTCTTAAATTTTTTTAAACCCATTTTGGTCCATGATGATAAAATTAACAATAAATTTTTGTAATCTAAAAGATAATCATGTACTCATTGCATCAAAACCTTACATTAAGTGCAAAATGGTCTCTATATTAAAATCACTTGAAAAAACTAAAAAATTTAAAGTTGATGTAACAATTGTTATAAATCTTCGGTTATTATGCCATACAATCATACAAATATAAGTATCTTAATTTGTCAAATTTCAGAAAAATTTTGTCAATCTTATTTTCATGGACCAAAACTAAAATAAATAAATAAATAAAACATTTAAGTAGTGATTTGTTAAAAAAACATTTGGGATCAGAGTGTTACAACTTAAAAAGAAGGTACTGATACACTTCTCTTTCCCTCATTTGGGCTGTTGGATTTCAGTGAGTTCATAGAGAATTGGGTCCAAATATGCGCACCTGCAAAGAACAAGATCAAATCAGAGTGTAGTGACTTGAGCTTCACTGAGCAATGCACCAACTGCGAGAAGGTATATTGTATTTCAAGACCCAAAACGTAGAACAAAATTGCACCTTTTTTTTCCCCTTATGTACTTACACCTAGTTGTAGTAAGTACATGCATTGTATCATTAATGTTTGGTAGAGGGATTCGTTCCTTGATTCGAATTATGATTCGTGATTTGCTACAGTATTTTCTCTCACAAAAATACACGTAAATCGAAAATAATTCTAATCACATGATTCTAATCCATGAACCAAACGGATTATAAATGTAACGGATTTTGGGATGAAACTCTTTATGCAGGAAGCTGTGAATGTGTCATTGGGTAACCTATTGACATACCCGTTTGTGAGAGATACCTTGGTGAAGAAAACTCTGGCTCTCAAGGGCGCGCACTACGATTTCGTCGACGGGACTTTCGAGCTCTGGGATCTCGATTTCAAAATCTCTGGCTCTGTATCTGTATGATGAGCAAGAATAAAAGTCAATCTGCTACAAATTATATAACTTTTTTTTTCTAAGCATCACACAGTTTTCCCTGCGCTGCAATGCTGTAAATTCCCTTTGTTTTTGTTCACTGTGGAAAGATAATAATGCAGCCACAATGGCTCCTGTCTTGCATATTGTTTGAATAAAATATGGTTTGTTTGTTCACTTTCTTTTTATCCTACCTTGCATTATATTATGTCTTTCTTTCCGATGAAACTTTTGAACCAGATATTACTGTTTTTAACATAATATCCCCATCCGAAAAGGATTTACAATTCGTGATCTTGCATTGTTTGTAGGGTACTTTATTACCATACTAAATATCTTCACAATCATAACTTTTTAATATAAAGGGCCATTACGACACATAGTGCATGAGGCCTACACGACATACGACATCAGCGTGACTCAGGTGAGCCTCTAGCTTCATTGATAAAGCACAACGGCACTCCTGTGTGCGGGAGAAATTATGGCGCGTTTAGAACTCGTTTTAAAATGATTTTATTTTTTGTATTAAAATGAAAATGAAAACGTTTTCAAAATTATTTTTAAAAATGTGTTTGGTAGTTTTATCAAGAGATTATTTTCAATGTAAAAAAACCCATTAATGTCTATCTTTTTCTCTCTCTGCTCGAGAGAGGAGAAAACGAAAACAAAAAATGAAAAACGACTAAAAGTCATTTTTTTATTTTTCTCTCATTTTACACTAAACTAAAAAATCATTTCATTTCTGTTTTTTATTTTTATTATACCAAACACCGTTTTGGAAACGTTTTCATTTTTTCTTTCTTTAAAAACGTGAAAAATAAAAACGGAATCAATTTCAAACACGGCCTATGAGTTTTTGTTCATTACACTGGTATACCTTAAACTTGTTAGTGTTCGGCGATTTAGACTCTAAATTTTTAATTGTGACAAGTGAGACACTCATGTCAATTAATAGACGATATGTTCCACAAAATTTACATAAATATGCACTCTAAACTCTTTAAATTTTGACATTTGAAATCTTAATTGTCGTATATTATGTACATCTTTTATTAATTCGACTGCGTTGTCCAAAATTGTCAAGTATAGTCTGACCAATGCCGTTTTTGTTATCTTTTTTGAGGATAATCATCAGGTATAAACAATAACATTGTTCATAATCAACTGTCCCAAAAAAAAAAAAAGAAAAAAGAAGAAGGATATCCATTCCATTCCACCATTAAAGGATCAAGAAGGTCCTTTGAGAGATCCACATCAAGTATACGAGCAAAGCGCCCGAAGTCTCCCTCCAAAATGACCCTGTCCATCTTGAAAACAGTAAATATCTGTCCATCTTGAAAACAGTAAATATCAATCCCTCTATTTTAAGAAGGATACTTTCAAACAAAAATAAAAAATAAAAAATAAAAAAATTACTCCCATCAAATATACTAAATCCTACACTAAACGTGAGCATAAACAATAATATATATACTACTCACTAATTCAAAGGATAACTTAGGACCCTGATTCCAGTTGATATGTGACTTTATGTGAGAGTCTTTTATTGTAGTAAAAAAATTAAATGTGACTATTTCTGAAACTTTTTTACTGTAGTAAAACTCGAATCGGTGAAATGAACGGGATCTTAATTATTTCTACGTGTCCTCCAAAGATCACATCAAAATCCCATGGAAAAACGATAATAATAAGAAATGCAAAAAGATCTCTCTCTCTAGATACTTTTACATGTGAAGAACATAAGAAAATAGAAATAATGAACTATATTACTTAAAAATAATAATAATAATAAACTATATGATATGAATAGTCACGTTTGAGTTAAATATAAATTTGTTTCCACCCAACACAGACAAGAATTTGGGGCATAGTATCCAGTTGGTATACATACATATTATAAGTTTTTGCACTTCAATCGCGAGGAATATAAAAATACTCTATACTATTGTTAGAAGCGGCCAGGTAGCTATTTGGTTAATTAATAATCGCCAATTGATTTATTGGGTTTAGAAAATTTTTTAGGAAAAAAAAAACTCCACAATATGGCAATGCTAATACTAGTCTTACACTATATGGGGAGTCATTTTATCCTATTTATTTGTTAATTCGTTCAAATCAGAATTCGGTTTACATAGAAAATTCCAAGTTAATATCTCCTCCAGCTTAGTGCGCATGCCTTGATTTGTTACTAGCTAGAAGACTTCTTCAATACTTCTCCATATATATATATATGTATGTATGTATAAGTTTTAATGGGCAAATAAAGAAAACCAAATGAAGTGAGAGAGATTTCAAGAATTCATATCAAACCATGGAAAAAAAAAAGCATCTCTGAGCATAATACCTCAAAATCGTAAGAGCGCAGACTAGCTAGATTAATATTAATTAAATAGGACTTGGATTAACTATATTTACAATTAGTACAAAATATAAATATTACAATTAGTACTCAAAATTAATATTAATTAAGTACTAAAAATCCCTTACAGCCGAAACAAGAAAAGAAAAATTTAGAAACTTTGACACATATGGTGATAAAGACCAGGGTACCCATCCAAGAATTCCACAAATCCCTGGTTACTTAAAATAATATCAGAAAGATCACTGCATATCATCAAAGGGCTCAATTCCAGGCTGTTGATCTTGTTGTTGCATGGCGATTCTTGTGGCTTTTCACTAGAAGACGCCTGATAAGATTCTTCATTAGCAATATCCAGTTTAGGCTTATTTTGGTCTTGCATGGTTTTGGCAACGCCGCTAATATTGTAATTAGAAAGCTGATAATCACACTTAACATTTGAATTAATAGTAGTATTAATATTAGCGTTTTTTGGTAATTTAGAGGAGGAGTACTTCACGTGATGTGCTAACTTTGATTGCTTTCTGAGGCCAAGCTTCTTGCTGAGATGAGTGTTCCAGTGGTTCTTGACTTGGTTATCTGTTCTACCGGGCACACGCCCTGCAATCAGAGACCATCTGCACCAATATGTATATAAATTTATATATATATATATATATATAGTTCCAGATCCAATTACATATCACTATTTGCATTTATTATATTTTTCTTCAAGTATTCTTGTGTATGTATCGACACAAGAAAACTATGTACTAGGACCGCTTTCTTTTTCATTCTTTTATCTGACCTCTAATATTTCGGAGCCCCATATTCCACAAACGCGTTAGGACTGGTCAACCAACATGACCCTCTTCCAAACACTAACAACATGTATCGAAGTTTCAACCCACAAAATATATATATATATATATATATATATGTATATCGAAGTGCCTTAAAAAAACAATATATCGCAGTATATATAGTACTCTTCTAAGAATCAAACAATTATGATCACTTTTAATCTCGGGTCTTGAAGATATGCATGTGCACATAACATTAGAAAAAATTATACTTTCTTAATTTCTTGAGATAGTACTACTACTACTACTTCTTTGAAAGCATTACTATAGCGAGTGAAAATTTTGTATTAAAAAAATTACACACACACACATATGGCTTTCGGGCCCTATTGGCAGTAATTTCTTTTTGCTCTAGAATTATATACCAAATTATGCGTAATAAGTTAGGGGGTTGTGTGTGTGTTTTAACTTCTGAAAACGGAGTTCACACGTATTTATGACTCTGAGTTGAGTTGAGCTAAATAATTTCCTAAGTCCATATCAAAATTTCCCGTTCTTTTCATAGATTCGAGTTTTACTACAGTAAAAAACTCTAAAAAACAGTCACATTTAACTTTTTACTACAATAAAAAACTCTCACACAACATCACATCTCAACTCGCGCGCCCACTAAAAAAATCTAGTTTTTTCTTATCCCAAAGAAGGAAAAAAAAAAATAGGGAAATAATAATAAGAATAATAATAAACAAAAACCTGTTTCCAAGGAGTTTATGAAGCCTGATAATTAAGTCTTCTTCTTCCTCTGAAAAAGAGCCTCGTTTGACACTGGGGCTGAGATAGTTAAGCCACCTTAATCTGCAGCTCTTCCCACACCTCTTTAGACCTGTCGTCGCATATAATAAGAAAAGTTAATTTGTTTCATGCAAATTAAGAGACATATAATTAAGATCAGATAGAGCGCGATATTTATGTAAATAACAGTTATAATTGTTTTTCATTATATATATATATATATATATATATATATATATATATCTCACCCGTCAACTTGGAAATGCAATTCCACTGCCCTACTCCACGCACCCTGATGTGTTCTAGCAAAACTCTGTCCTCCTCCGCCGTCCACAGCCCTTTCTTATACTGTTTTTTCTCTTCTGCAGCTCCCATTCTTAGCGCTCTTAAAGAGAGAGAGAGAGAGAGAGAGAGCTATTGTCTGTGTGTGAGTGTAAGAGAGGAAGAGGGTGAGGGATAATTGTACTGTATAAGTACGTATATTTTCTTAGCCTTTTCATGTACTTAGTAATGTGTGAGTCTGTGTGAGGGCTATTGTAAGGTTCTTCATGGGTTAGGTTAGTGCAGGATATGATTTTTTCTTTTCTCGTCTTAAAAAATGCGAGTAGTACATATTTAACCACAATGATGTTAGAAAAATTTTACTACCCAACGATGTTTGGGTTGGGTTGGGGCGGTGCGGGGTGGATTGGGTGATCGGTTTTAACATTCAAAGAATTAAAGACTCAAAGTTCAATTCAACATTCAAAGTTTATCATCAAATAGAAATAATAACTCATATGGTTAGATATTAGAGTAGGTAAGTTAGAGCGCATGTTGGTTTGGGGTGTGCGGGCCATTATAGGCCCAACCCACACCCCGCCCAAAAACTTCGGGCCAAACATTGAATGGGCCGAAAAAAAAATTTAATACTAGAAATTGTATTTTTCAGGTTGGATTGGGGTGGGTTGGGCCTGCGGGTTTTGCGGGCTTACAAACAACCGTAGGCTATTGTCCCATTTTGTTGTCCTTTTTGACAACTCATTTAATTGTTTACATATTTCAAGTATTTAATTTTTTTTTTATGAAGGAGTTGTCTATAGTCCCCCAATTTAAAAATGAGGACAAGTCCCTCGTGTACCTCGTAACGGGCCTATATGCCATTGTAACTAGCTAAAAGTCTAACGTAATTCTCTTATATTGAGTGATAACAGTTACTATTTTAAAAATCAGAAGACATTTTTAAACATCTAGCAATAAACAATTGTCATGTACACCTGTCGTGAATAATTATATAAAAAATATTAAAAGGCACATCAATAAACGACTGTCGTTTTTACATTTAATATCAATCGTTCAATCGTAACCGATTGTTGTTTTTAAACCTGAATAATATTATCGTAAAGAATTACATCTGTCACGTTCTTTTTTTGATAAGCACATTTTCTCAATTTTTTAATCGTTGTCTTTAGTAAAATTATCCTACTAAGCTACCGCTATATGTAACTATGATACGTATTAGTTTACTAATCCATTCTAAAAGCTTTTATATTCTAACAATATGAAATGCATTTTCGATTCTCTTTTGTTGCCAAATAATTTTATAATAGTGTTTTCCCATATTATCATTGACAACATTAGTATTTGGATGCGTTTGTTTCAAAGATTCCACATAATTCAATTATAATTATTCATGATTCTGCTATAGTGTTTTCTTCTTAAAAAAAATTTAAATTTTAAACTTAAAGTAATGTACCAAACGAATTTTTTTTTTTTTTTGTTTTTCTTTTTTGGCCTAAAGGCAACCATAGTACTTTGTAAAACTGACTTTTAAATCAGTATTTGTTTACCGTGATTCTGAATCAGTGTTTGGTTTGGATGATTTTAAATCTGATATGATGTTTTAAACTTACTCAAATTATGATTCTAAAACCACATTTCTCTTGATTCAAAGTGATTCAAACTTCTAATTCTGAATTATAATTTCAGAATTATAATTTAAACTTAAAATCATAAATCATGATTTTAATTTTAAAATTATAATTAGAATCACTGTAATTTAAATCTTCATACTTAACACACCTTCGGTTGTTCTCCCCCAAACACAATACTGTTAATCCATCTGGAGTACTGCCTAGAACCAAAAGTGAAAAGTAAAGGATAGATGAACAGGGGTTGTCGTTTTGTCTTCTTTACTTTATTATTGGTTGGTACAACATACTAGATTGTATTTTGGTCAAGTACTTGTAAAATGAGATCACATGCATGTATTGGAGGAAAAGGTTGAAAAAGTAAGACACACAAGACTACGGGCAAATCCGGCATGCATCAGTGTCACTTTGGAGCTAACACTGTTCCCATGAGTTATGAGTTCACGGGTGCGGCTCCGGCTCCACAAGATGTGGGAGTCTTGTCGGCAAAATAAAACAAAGACGGTGCGGGGTTAAACGCTTCACAACCACAAGAAGCAATCCCTCAGCCCACGAGGAAAAAAGTGGGGGAAAAAAAACAGCTTTACAACTTGTAATTACCAACAAATAAAATCTCGATACGTTGATATAAAGGTGTGAATTTTAGAGAATATTCTGAAGATTCTTCTTTTTTTTTTTCTTTGAAAATTCTTCATTTAGTATGTACCTTAGGGCCCGTTTAGTTCGTTAATTTGAGTTTTTAATTTGAGTTGAGATGTGATTTATGTGAAAATTTATTACTGTAGTAAAAAAGTTAAACGTGATTGTTTCTGAGAGCTTTTTACTATAACAAAACTCAAATTCTAAACTTGAATCGGTAAAATGAACGGGGTGTTTAGTCTTTTTTTTTTCCCACCCAAAGAATTGTGTATCTCTTAACTTGATTTTTTTTAAAAAGAAAACAAAAGAAAGAAGTGGTGAAGATCTAAGGACTACTTAAGAGATCGCATAAATATTTATCTTCCTAGTTAAAGGGATATTTAATATTATTTTTTTATGGGAAAATTCAAGAATCTGCCCCCTTAACTCACTTTCTTCGTTTTCTGCCACTTCATTAGAATTTCAACCTTTTCAAACCCTCCCCAAATTATTTAGAAGTTTTCCCCTCTTTAGAAGTAAAATCTTGTTTTCGGCTTTGTTCGTTTTACTAGTTTGAATTATAACTCAAGTTTTTATTATAGTATTTTTTATCACAAAAATTTAAATTTAACTTTTTCTGCTAAAACGTTTTATCATATATGAATTCATTTTTTTAACTCAAATTCTCAACTCAAACGAGCGAAACGAACGGGCCGAGTCGTTTTCTTCCTCGGTTGTCTTTTTTTGTTTTTTAAATTGAGTTTTCTTATTTTTAATTATTTTGTAATTCGTGTCGTTTTGCTTCCTTGTTGTTTACTTTTGATTTTCTTTCCTGTTTGTTTATTTGCTTTGTTGTTTATGTTCTAATGTCGTTTTTATGTTTGTTGTCAGTGCAATATTTTATTGTCGTTTTCTCGCTGAGTATCGTGGAAGCGGAAGGGAAAAAGATGCACATTACCAGTTCTTACCTGTACTAAGCTAGACAAGAAACCAAGATTGAAGTGTTTTTTTTTCTTCTCTTATTCATTTTTAAAAAATTTCTACTGTCAAAGTTTTCTGACGGGATTGAAGCATTTAAAGTATGAAAGATATTGGTGAGCAAAAATAGAAAACAACTTCACTTATTCCTTTGTATACCAACATATTTTTCAAGTGGCCATAATCTCATTACAGAGAGTGCAACATTGCAAAATTGGCTGTCGTATTGTGTTTTATCTCATGGAATTGGGTGTATAACAACTTTACCAACTGCTCGGTTTGTTTCAAGGTAAGAGAAAGCCTCGACAAGCTGTGAAAATGGGAATGGACCCTTGGGGTCAATCACTGGCTTCACCTTCCCACTCTCCAAATATGGATTTAGTTTCGTCAATACTTCGCCGTTCGACGTGACCACAAATCTGAAACCGGGTGGTGTAACAGCACCGGTTAAAGCCACCACGCTGCCTCCTTCTTTCACGGCTTTCACCGCTCTATCGCATTGCCCTGACATTGTCAAAGAAAACAAGAATCATTGTCTTGTGAGGAATCGAATAATTCTAACGTTGAAACTATTTAATATGACAGATTCTAGATCATGACTTGATGCCATATCTCACAATCTCATTATTTGATCACGACCAATTACCATGCTAATTACGAATTTATCATCATAGTTTTAGGCCCTGTCAATTTCCTCATATGCAAGTGATGAAGAAATCTTACCAATAGCATCGTAGACGACATCAAACTTCTCCGGAAGATCTTCAAAGTTTTCTTTCGTGTAATCAATGGCCAAATCAGCCCCCAGGCTCTTCAAGAACTCCAGCTTCCCAGTGCTTGCAGTTGCTGCAACTTTCGATGCACCGAAGACTTGTTTTGCTAGCTGCATCAACAAAGAAAATAAACCAAAAAATTTAGCCTTGCGGAGGCAAAACTTCAAAGGCGGATATAAGTCTCTATTGCATTTAAATACTTCGTAATAAACACTTAAATATGTTTTTATTCATTCTTGCCATTAATCTATACTGTAAGGGTGGAGACAATGAAGTAGTACAAAGTAAAGATACCTGAATGACCAAGCTTCCAACACCACCAGCTCCATTCAAGACAAGAATAGATTTGCCGGCAGAAAATCCTGTCTTTTCAAGACCCTCGTAAGCGGTCTCGATCGCGAGAGGAAGCGCAGCTGCCTGAGCAAAGTCAAGATTCTTAGGCTTTAGTGCCAACAGCTTCTCTTCAACTGCAGTGTACTCCGCAAGAGACCCGAATTGCTTAGGACCATCCAATGCTTTCTCATGTATGTCCCCATATACTTCATCCCCTTCTTTGATGTTCTTCACTTGACTCCCAACTTTGACTACCACACCAGCAACATCATAGCCTGGGACAGTCTTTATTGAAACAAAAGTGGACAACAATTCCTTCAGTTAATACTTCCAATTCATGCAAAAATAACAAGACTTTGCTTAGCAACACTTTCACTTTCTGTTTTGTTTTTATCTTTTAAAAGTACAAGGAAGATTGTTAAAAAGAATTTGCACGTAAGTTGTCTATTAGTGTGGATGTGGATGCCTCTATTGTGATGGTAAAGCTGGTTTAGGAGTTTCGGTGTGTGATTGTGAAGGGACAGTTGTTGCTACTAGGATTCGGGTTTTACAAGCTCCTTCGGTTCTTGAAACCGTGCTACACGATATTCTTTTAGCTATGTGTTTGATGAACATGGCTAGCCTGATGTTCATGTGAGAAGTGACTCCTTGCTTGTTATTGAGACTTCGAACGCCCAGGGAAATCATCGTCATTGGATGTTGAATCAGATTTTTTAGGATTTGGTTGTTCTAGCTAATAGTTGTGGCTCTGTCAATTTCGTTTTCATTCCCAGGGAAATCACCGTCATTGGATGGTAACTGATGCTATTAGTAATTGAGCTATATTGTCTTCTTTATCATGGTGAATTTTCCTTAGGATCTAGTTTAGTCAATGAAAGTTCACATTCAGAAAAAGAAAAAAAAAAAAAAGAAAGAATTTCCACCATTATCTTCGCGTTTAGAATGAAACATTGAAACACAACATTAATAGATAAAAACATAACCTCTACTATTATTATGATAGCAAGTACATCAAGACAGCATAAAGAAAAAAAAAAAAGAGTCTAAAACTAAGAGAACACTGTCACAAAACAAGAAGACGGTAACTAAAAATACTAAAGCAACTTCAAAGTACTATAAGAAGACGATAACTAAAAATACTAAGTTGACTTCAAAGGACGTTCAAACTGATCTATTGCTTTGTAGTGCATCCAAAGTGAATTGAAAAGCCTATTTACAGCCAAAGTGTTTGACTTGTATGGACCAAATGCTACCAATGTGCCTTACGAGTTATCACAAGACATGACCAAAACATGTTGGTCATATATTTTAAAGAGCTTCCTAGCCATATATTGTCTTAACTTTTTTAGTTATTTGTTTGACTTCATCTGATAAGAAATAGGCAATAGGCTATCATCCTTAGGAGAGATTCCATGGGCTTAACTGAACGTAATGATGAGGAAATCGATGCTTAAAAGCCTTCATGAACTTGAAGTGCGAGATGGTATATGTCTGCATGTTGTCAGTATGGTAAGGAGCGTCACACCAATTACCACATGACACATCAAAGTTCAAAGGAAAGGCACCACTAGAGCTAGTTTACTTTGATGTGTTTGGACGTATCAGGCAACAATCTATCAACGAAACACGGAACATGGTCATATTTATCGACAACTTCTCAATATATTGTATGAATTATTTATAAAAGAAAAATCCGATACATTTACAAAATTTAAAGAGTGAAAAGTGCAGTCCACAGAAAAATCCGATGTTTGTGCACTGATTATAGTGGAGAAGGTAGAAGAGTTTTCTTAGTATTTGCACGATTCTCAAATACGTCCACCACAACAAAATGATATAGCTAAAAGGAAGAACCGAAATCTTGTGGAGACATGTCAGAGCACGCTTTAGCATCTTGATTAAGCTAAATAAATAAATAAGGTAGTCAATTAGGAAGATCTCGAAAATATATGGCCAAATGTTTTGGCTATGTCTTTTGATAATTGGTAAACCATGTTGTTGGCATTTGGCCCCATTCATTTCGCTATAATTCGAATCACAACTCAAGTTTTTACTGCAATGTTTTCTCTCATAAAAATTCAAGTTTAACCTTTTTTGCTACAGTATTTTTTCTCACATAAATTCACTTTTTAATTTGAATTCTCAACTCAAATGAGCGAAACGAACGAGGCACGAACATATTCGACCATAAATAGGCTTTCACTTTAGCTTTGGATGCACAACAAAACAACAGGAGCATGACTTAGAAAGATAATAATGCTTTGAAGTAATGTTAGTATTTTTAGTTAACGCTTTCTTTCTTTGTGAGTTTGCCAAGAGCGTTCTCTTAGTTGTAGAGTGCTCTTCTCTTCAGGTGTTCTTGATGTACACGCCATTAAAATAATAGCAGTAGAAGTTATGTTTTTGTCCATTAGTGTTGTGTTCAACAGGAAAAACCAACAATAAAAGTTTTACAACTTTTTGCCACTTTCATCTTTTTTTAAAAAAAAAAAATGCAATTCCACACAAACAACAACCGAGGCCACTAATGTCATCTACTAAAAAAAAATGAAAACCAATATTAATAATCTAATATGCTATTAGAGTACATAATCTTAAATCCGAGCCCTTATACCCACACTCTTAAACATATTGTCACGCATTTGGCCATAATTTAAACTTGTGCGCCCTTTCTTGTTCAGCTTTTGATAGAATTCCTAATCTAACGTTATTCATCATGAACAATAAAATTTACACAAAAAAGGGAAAATTTTTGTAGATAGAAAGGAAGTTTTACCGGAAGTGGAGAATCAGTGTTCTTGAACTTCCCCTGCCTTCTCTTGAAGTCGACCGGGTTAAGAGCAGCAGCAAAAACCTTAATCAAAACCTGGTCTTCCTTAACATCAGGAACCGAGACATTACTCTCAAGCTTCAAAACATCCACGCCTCCGTACTCTCCGTACATCCAAGCCTTCATCTCGGCCGGCACCGAAGACACTTTCGAGGCTTCGGCAGAAACAGGGGAAGAAGCACTGGCGGAGATTCTGAGACCAGGATTAACAGAGGATAGCGGGATTTTCTTGGTGGTGTACTTTCCCGGGAAAGTGAGGGAAAATCCTAGGGAAATTCCGTTTGGACAGAGAGAAGGATGGAGTTTGAGTTGGGGAGATGTGGAAGTGAGAGGGGCAGTTGCTGCTGCATACATTGCTGTTTGCTGCTTCTTCTGCTTCCAACTGTCCCTTAACGGCTTATCTTCTTCTGTCTTCACAAACCTTTGCCTTTTTCTTCTTCAAGAGTTTTTTTTTTTTTTTTTTTTTTTTTTTCTAATATATATAATAATTTATAATATCGTGCCCGTACGAAGTTGGACAGATTTTGGATATTGTGTGGACATTACTGATTTTCTAGTACCTTCCTTGCCAAATCATTGGCAGTGAATAAAAAAAATGTCTCGGGTTTTTTTTTTTAATAGAATGTTTTGTCTAATTAATTTGTGAGTTCTAAATTTCGAATAATATGTAATTATTGGAGAATTAACATGCAATTAGGCCCGGTAATTTCAGACACGATATGATAAAAGGACACAAAAATGACACTAGATAAATGAGTTTGGACCGCACGATTATTAATTAGGTCGTTAACGTGCTGACACAAATAATACGAAAATAAATGGACTGGATTCGTGCCAGCCCATTTAACACGCTTAACCCGTTTAGTTATACGGGCCGTTATTGGACCGACACGGCCTGGTCCGTTTATTAAGCCCATATATATATATATATATATATATATATATATATATAGACAAAACCTTATTTCTAACTCAGTCTTTGGAGGCTTCTCTTTCTCTCATTCTCTCACCCGCCGTTTCAGGTATTTCTCATTTCTTTAGCAAATAAGATTGACAAGGTATTTTTCTATTCTCAATTTTTCTTTAGCAAAAGCGACGAGACGGAAGAAGTAATCCTGGTAAGATTGACAAGGTATTTTTCTGTTCTCAATTTTTTTTACTCTGCTACTCTTGTTCTATGTTGCGCAAGGTTCTCAAGTTTTGTACTTGCCGATGTGGCAACTGTATTTTTTTTAGTGTGATAGGGTTTTATGAAGGGATAATATTGTTCATCGACATTTCAATGTTTCCCTAGGTTCTTTCATTAATAAGCATATTGTTTCATGAGAAACTAAATTTTATCCGTTCACTTGAATTTATTGGTCTAAAGATACTGAAAGGAAAAAGCGAAAAAAAAAAAGAACTCTAGTCTTCTTATACAGTTAATCATTGATATGAACAGTAGTCATTGTGGACATTTTCCTATATTTATTTTATGTTTTATACACTTAAATATTCAAATATTTGCTTTTGTTTTCAAACTTATTTAAATGTACTTGGTTATGTTTTCAAACTTTTTTGGATGTTTGGTAATTGGTATGTTTTGAAACATTACTTGATAATCTAGTAGCAAATATTTTATATATGTGTGTGTGTGTATTTGATATTTTGATATTTTAATGTGTGTTGACTATTATGCATGATTTTAACTATAAGTGATATTAAGTAGTCAATTAATATAGTTTTGAATACAATATAAAATTTCACTACTTTTGCAAGTTAGGTCATAAACGTGTTTTTTTTTTTCGTGTCGGCCCGTCATGGCACATTTAGTAATCGTATTCGCATGTCGTGTCGTGTTAACCGTGTTATTAACGTTTTGTGTTCGTGTTTGAGTTTCTAACACGTTTATTAATCGTGTCGTGTTCGTGTTCACTATAATCGTGTTGTACCGTAATCGTACCGGCCTGAACACGAATTGTCAACCCTACATGCAAGAGGTGGATAACATTCCAAGTCCTTTAGATTATTATTTTCTATACATTCCTCGTTAAATTACAGCAGTGAAGGATCAAAATATCAAGAAAAACGATACATATCATAGAAAAAATTGTTCCTGTCACATTATGAAATTATTAAATAACTTGTTAGTAAGATTTAAAAAACAGAAAAATAAGTAATTCTAGTTGCAAAACTTTACATAGTTTTAACCGATGCATTATGATAAATTTTTTCATAATGTGTATCATTGCTCCAAATTGTTAAACATCAACCTATTATCAACACTACTAATTTCTTAATCCTTCGTATTTAAAGTTTAAAAGTTTATGAATTTTCGTGTTTTACATTTCCATATCTAACGTGGCAATATGTAGCATTCAAAAAAATCGACTATTTTTAATCTTTCTCTATTTTCTTACACTGACCCGATCAAAATAAACTGAAAATAAAACATGAAATGTACCAAACTTCGTAAATTTCTAGCAGTTTAAAATAGTAACGCATTGATAAAGTATTTTTTTTTTCTGTTTATATTTTACCAAAAATTCTGTCCTTTTCTTTCTCATATAAGTAGGTAAAATGGGTGCGTTTTTGCTCAAGACATGTGAAGGAGACACCACAAGGGTGTTCATAGCATCTAATCAACCGATCAAAACAATTAGTCCAAATCAATCTAATCCATTTTTACAGATAACCAATCTCAATTCAATTGAATTGAATGTAAATTTTTAAAAATCAACTTAAATTGGATTAGATGTTAATTTTACTTTTAAAACACCTAATCCAAACCGATCCAATCTCTTTATATCATATAAAAACATACATAATATATATTAATATTATTGGTCTAAAATTTAAATTCTATCTTTTTTCACACTTTCTTTTCATGTTTTTTATTATTCTTTTTGCTGAACTTTTTATATTTATCAGTTTATATATTTACTTTCATTTCTTTAAGTTATTTATTGGATGTTTAATTTAATTTTAAAGTAATTTGGAGTTTATACGATTTTTTAGATTTATGGATGCTAATTAATGCTTCATTTTTTCAACGGTAGTCTATAGTATTTAAACTTTATTAAAAAAAACCTAACAAAATAGGTTGAATAAGAAAATAAATAAATAAATAATGTACAAAAAACTCATGTAAAAATTTGATTGGTCCAATTCTATTCAAAGCAATTTTAATCAGATTAGATTAGAGTGGATGATACACTAGTAATTAAATTGTATTTAATGTAATTTTTAAAAACTTATATTTTGATTGAATTAATTGTTATAAGATTAAAATAAGTTGGATCGGAGTGGATCGGATGAACACCCTTCCCCACCAGAAATAGCCATTTCAAACACCTCTCTCACGAACGACTAGTTTCAATTCGTCGTTTTGAGAAGCAGGTTTAGTAATAATGGTTAGGTGTTGTGTTGTCGTACGTAACGGAAGTTTGATATTATTTCGCACAGGAGAACGAATTACAATACAAACATCCCGAGTGCGAGTCACGTGGACGGTCAAGATCAGTCCTCACGTGGTCGAAGATCGACGATTTCTTCATAAAAAACCCTCGTTCCTTCCTTAGCCGACTGTGACGGCTACGTTTTTTCAGTCAGATCTCTTCACTTTCTCTCTCTACCTCTTTCTATCTCTTATCCCAAATCGCTTGATTCCGAATTTCTCCAATCTTCAGGTGATTCGAAGCCCTAATTTTTGTTTTTGTTTTCTTATCTCCTTCATGCATTGATCATAATTGCTCTCTTTTTGTTGTCCGTGAATCGTACATTAGTTTTTATTTTGTTAAATTAAATTTTGTGAATTTAGCCTTCAAACAATTTCTTTTCTTTTTTTTTTTTGAATTTTTTGTTTGTGATCGATGTAGAGGAAGAAAAGTTTTGGTCTTTGGTATTCGATTTGGTTATTTTTGTTGATTTCTCTATGATCTGTTACCTTTGCGCTCGAAAGAGTAAATTTTGATGGAACTTTTGTAGATTTATGGATTATCGATGATTTGATAGTGTAAGCATGATTTCTCCTTGTATTATGGCAGTTCTTAGGTTAATGTGTTACGGTAATACTGCATGAGATTCAATTAATGAGTTTCTTACGCCTCTCGTGATAAATGTGAAAATTTTCAGAAATAAAAGGGGATAGAGATCGAACCTCACTGTTTTATTCGATTTGATCAATAAAGCTAGGATCTTTGCGTTGTTTTAGCGTTTGTTAGTTTACTATATTCAATTTTTTGTTTGACTTTAGATGATCAAAAAGCAGAGCTTGAAAATGTTTCATTTCTGAGAAACCAGATTGATTTATTGTTTCTTTTGACCCTCCTATGATGTATCTGATGGGCCCATTGGCATAAGTGACCCTCAATTATAAGGAAAATGTTTTGTCTGACACAAATATGATTCTTCATTTACGTTTTCAGCTGGGGTTCGGTCTTCGGTTACTGTTACATTTGTATTTCTCTGTTATCAAATTTAATTAGAAATTAATGCAATCCTCTCTCTTTCTCACTCGCTCGTTGTTTCGCCTTATTTTTTTTAACGCTAGTTTTATTGATTTTTGTTTGTGTTGTGTCCTATTTCACTGAAACATTTGAACGATTTGGTTTTTGTAGGTTTGTTGTAATGGCAGAATCAAAACCAGGTTTGAGGAAACCAGTATTTACCAAGGTTGACCAGCTCCGTCCTGGTACTAGTGGTCATACTCTCACAGTAAAGGTTGTTAGTACTAAAATGGTTTTGCAGAAGGGTCGTGCTGATGGTCCTCAAGTTCGTCAAATGCGAATTGCTGAATGCTTGGTAGGGGATGAGACCGGAATGATTATCTTCACAGCTCGTAATGACCAAGGTATACACTAGACTTTTAATAACTGCTTTTGAATGCAATATCTTATTACATTTCAATTCTTATATGCTGTGCACATCACGCATCAAGTTTTATTGTTACAAATCATTGTTTCTTTTTTCCTCCATTTGCATATGGTCTATTGGTCTTTTCCTTTGAGGCTTTATACCTTTTTTTTTGGGGTGCATTTAGAGCTAATGCATTTTGTATCAGACACTTTTATAGGGCTTGCATTTAAGTATTATGTTCAGTCTTTTACCTGGTCATGGTTGTTTTCTGTGGCCGCGCAAGGTTCTGAATTGGGATATTTACCTTTTTATACCTTGTGTTTTGGGTTTATTTTAGTTTTTGATCTCATCAAATATATACCTTCAAATTAGATTTAATACCAAAATTTATACCTTTCCACCATTAATCCTCGATTTTAACCTTATGAATACCTAAAATACCCTTAAATAAAAACATAGAAAAAGGAAAAAACCTAAAAAAAAAAAATTTTTAACTCACAATTTTGATCTCTAAAATATGTAAAATACCAAATGGGGGTTTTTTTTTTTTGTGATTAATTTTTAAGTATCATAATATTAGAAAGTTTTAGTGTTTTTTCCCCCTTTTTTTAAGGATAGTTTAGTCATTTTAAAGGTCAAAATCAATTATTGACCGAAATAAGGTATAGACTTGTATATTAAATCTAATTCAAAAGTATACATTTGATGAGATCCTCGTCAAAAACCGAACTTGTAATGCTTTGAACTTGTATTCTTCTGTCGATATTTTGAGCTTGTATTTGATATGTGTACAATGTGATATATGGAAGTCTCAAGGAATGATTAGAAATGCAATTAATCTTTTGAAGACTGTTGTTTTGAACAATGTTTAAGTATTAGATATAGACGAGTTTACTAGGAACGTTGTAGTATAGAACTTTTGATGTCCATAACAATTCTACAAGTTTGCGTACTCGGGTAGTGCAAGTATGTTGTGGAGAAGGACGTGAAATTTTGTGGAATGGGATGTGGCCTTATCCTTATTGCTAGGAATTATTTTTCTTATGGTTAGGTAATAAACAAGTCATTCATTGCGATGTATCCTCTCTACCTAATCTCTCGTACCTGAGTGGCATGTTCTTTTTCCCCATTTCCCAACACATCAGCAGAAATTGCACTAAATGTGGTGCATTTTTACGTTAATTGTTTTGTTAATGTAGATATGCCAGGTGTAATGAATTTTGATGAAATGCCAGGTGTAATGAATTTTGATGAAATGCCAGGTATAATGAATTTTGATGAAATGCCAGGTGTAATGCTCGTTTTTTTTAATAACAATAACTTGGGGTATTTGACTGTAATCAAATTTTTGAACTTGTTTCAAATATTGGGGATTATGAATGGAGTAGTGCTAGGGACACAAACCTTAATCTCAACTTTTTGTATCAACTTTGAGTTGTCATCTATTCATTGCTAAATGCAATCTTTAAATGTGATAATCTTTTGAACAATTATCCATAAGAGAATGACAACTCTTTGGTAAAAAAAAGTTGGGGTTAGAGTTGGTGTCCTTAGGATTATTGTTATGAAAATATTCAGGCCTTGCTTGTGGTAATACTTTCATTTTTGTTTTTTGTTTTTGTTTTAGAAAGTGAAATGAAGGGTGGAGATCATCTGAAGAGAATCTCTCATTCTGTTCACTTTTGAAAACAAGAAACTAAGGCCCTAGTTAATGGAGCGAAAATGAATGGACTCTTACATTCCTAATGTAAGATGTTGATGGTTGAGTTGATACTTATCATAAGGGTAGAGAAGATAGAATGCTAATTGGGAAGACGTGCTCTATTTTTCATGCATAAATGTTTTGCGGATTCTTTATTTTAACTAATAATCAACCATGGGAATGAATAAAAAAGCACTTACATGTTCGTCATCTACTCTTCTAAGGTAGTTTAAGTATACGATTTCAAATCATATTATGGTTACACACATAATGTGTACATTTTATTTTTCCTTTGAGCATTGTTGGTTTAACTTGAATGGCCTATCTATTATCCCTATAAACGTGTCATTCCATTCTCATTAAAGTTGGAACTGAAAATATGCTTACTTAATACTTATTTATATCTTCTGATATAGTGTTTTATCGACTTTGTAGTGGACTTGGTGAAAGAGGGCAGCACAGTTATCCTCCGCAATGCTAAAATTGACATGTTCAAAGGTTCAATGAGGCTAGCCGTGGACAAGTGGGGCCGTGTTGAAATCACTGAACCTGCAGATTTCACCGTTAAGGAAGACAACAACCTTTCTCTGATCGAGTATGAACTTGTGAATGTTGTTGAAGAGTGATCTTTAGAGACGGCATTCCCTATCTATATTCTGGCAAAGAAATAATAAAACAAATCCAGCAAAGATAGTACGGTTCTCTACGGGGCATCTTTTTCTCCAATCTCATGAAAGTTCACTTTTAAGAAGAAATCTGGAAGCTTAGTTACTACCCAGTTGCTTGTTACCTCTGCAGCAGAATCTGGTGGATCTTTTGTTGGATCTCCACCTCCAAAAAAATAGTGATGGTAAGTATAAAAAGGAGCTGGCTTTTGGATTGGCTGTCTGTTTATTATTACCTATTTATTTCCCGACAGTACATTACAAGTTAATATGAAACGAATGTTCTCTGCATAACTCGATATGATTTTGCCTTATCTGAATACTAATGTCCTTTTGCTTTTAACTTAGACATGCCCTTCATTTTTGTACATCCTGTTTGCCTTTCTATCTTCGGGAAATCTCTCAAACAGCATGGAAAGTCCAAGGAACTTTCCCTGTTTGTCCGTAGCTAATTTGGTCGTTTTGATAGCTACTAATTTTAGTGTCCCATGCCAAATTCTTCTCCACTATTTTTTTTTTATTTTTTAATCATTCTAGTACAATAAATATGTCACGGGCGACTTGGCTCTGGAAATTGAGCCAGAAAAGTTCAAAAGAGGAACAAAAGTTGAGGTTAGTTTGACCTCCAAATGTAGAAAGATAGTAGGGCATTGTGCAGACGCGTATGAGCTGTATAAACTGTTAATGCCCCGTGAACTTCAACTAGCAATTATATTAGCCAATCCTAAGGAATATCGTTGTTGTTTTTATTCTGACGATGACTGGTATCCTCACAGGTCACATTAGTAACAGAAGCAATGAAAAAAAAAACATATTTCTTATTGATTTGAGTCGAAACCCAGATGCCAGTCATCGTCCTCCTTTAGTAGTTTTCTTGCTGTTACTGTTTTTATGGAAATGGACAAAAGGCAAAGGCAATAGTTCTATGTAAAAGGCACAATATGGAAATCTCAACCCAAACTTGTGGTTCTCTCGAGGAGTTTACATGTATTTAGTCTTTTTTTTTTTTTTTTTTTCTCTCTTTTGTGGAAGCGAATGTGACTGCACAATCCGTGTAACTTGAAACTTGGTTAACCGGCTTTTTTAGCAGTTGCCATGTGAGGAAGAGAAGACGTGATAATCAATCATTCAGGTGCTTTTTTCCATGTTTTTTTCCCACGCGATTTAGAAATCATTTCATATGCCATGGGTTACCTACTTTCTGAAACGTGACAACAAAAATTGTTGTTGCTTCCACATGAATGAATGTTAACGCAGGCCAGGCATGATGCAACATTATGTCGCATTCCCGTCACATGGTCAGCCCCATTTTTCTTTTCCTTCTCTAGAAGTAGGTAAATCACCCATTTATTTTTAACTTAATATGATATTGTTTGAGATCGGGGAATTAGAGATTGCAATGTTCTTAATACTGTCCGACAAAAAAAAAAAAAAAAAAAATGAAAGACAGGAAACTTAAGTAGAAGAAACCATATCCATCTGATATGATTTTTAGCTGCTTCTTTTTCCTGTCAGTGGTTTTACTTAGCACAAACAGGATTGCAAATAAGTGGAATGTGTCTGCCGGGGCACTTGTCCCTATTCATATGTGCCATCAATTTTTGTCTTTGCACAAAGTGGGACTTCGGCTCCACACATTTTCCTGTCCTTAAAGAAGTAGTGAGAGGACCACTTCACATGTTGGATAATAATGAAAACTAAAGAGGAAAACAAAGAAATGAAGATATGACATACATGGCATTACGTTCGATCAACGTCATGCGAGCAAGTAATGTGCTTTAAAAGAGAATCAGAAAATAATAACGCAAAACCATATTGCTCTTAAGCAGCATTATTGACATAAATATATAGCTGATAGACAAAATGCTTTTCATAATTTGGATGGTAGATCAAAATTGTTGAGCTTTGGGCTAAAGTGAGTGATTAATTTATTTTATTATAGAGAAAATTATTGAACTTACCCCTCAAGTGGATGGGTCTTGATTTTTACCATTTTCCATTGATTAATACTCTTTTCACTAATATAGTTATTTGATTAAAAAAATATTAATTAAAAATAAAAGATAAAAATCTAGATTTCTGTATTCTAAGAGGGTATTTGTCTCTTTTTCCTTTAATTATAAGATTGGTCAAATGCGTATACTTTACAGGGGTAAAAACGGATTAGGTTCTTCAAGCATTTTGTAATAGAATGTTCTAATTATCGTGGGTTAACAGAAGGAAATATCTGTTCTTAGTCCTATACAATTGTATCGTTTTCAATCAATTATGAGGCTCTTCAACTTTTGAGTGCTTCATAAAGTAAAGATTCATATTTATGGAGTAGTGCTTGCTTAGGTGGTCTCATGACTGTCCCTGGTGGTGCACTTATTATATATTTTCTTTGGTAAAAAATGATTTTCTTTTTGGTGGGGTTTCTTACTTTCTTTAATGCTCATTGGATGGATCATAAAATATGAGGCTTGCTAGCCAGTTCAAGCTCACAGTGATTCAACTGTCTATCAAATTCAGTTCCGAGTAAAAAATTCTCTCATATTTTGGCCCCGTTCACTTCGTTGATTCGAGTTTAGAATTCGAGTTTTTCTACAGTAAAAAGCTCTCACAAACAATCATATCTAACTTTTTTGCTACAGTAAAAAGCTTTCACATAAAATCACATCTCAACTCGAATTCTAAACTCGAATCAGCGAAGTGAACGAGGCCTATCTCCACAACTCATTTGTATTTATCCTGAATAAGTTATAATTATTATCTTTGCCGATACATTTTTGATTTTTCACTCTCTTTAGCCACTTTTAGCTAAAATATCCGTAACTTGATAGAATAAACAAATAAAACGTCGAGTACTGGCCAATTTTGCTTTCTTTATACGCTTATCAAATTGGCCCTTGGCGTGAGATTCCGGCCGCATTACTTGGAATGAAAAAAAAAAAGACGGACGAGATGTAAAAGTTCGTTCATGTATACCAGAAAAAGTTTTTTTTATTCTCGTCTTGTCTTGGCCTTTGGCATAAGATGGGAAATCCCCAATCATATTGATAGTAACACAAAAGATGAATATAGCAGTTTTGACTTTTTTCATTGGTCATGCCAAAATCCGCAAAAGGAAAAAAAAAAAAAAGAAAAGAAAAAAGTTTGAATGCATGAAATTGCATGATTTACTACGATGTTAGTTTAATATAATTCAACGTTGACTGCATAAAATAATTCAAGATTGCTGTTATTGTTTCTGGCCTTGGTTACAGGACCAGGATATTGGGGAACCATCTCTTGCCCTGTTCTCCAAGCGAGTCCGGTGTTGCAAACAGCAACCAAGGCTGCAGGCATGGAGGAATATTCTAGTATTAATAACAATAAAGTTTTTCTTTCTTTTGGAGGTTCCTTATGACGCATCGATAGAGCAAGTGTTTTTACCGTTTGATTAACTTTTTAACAGTCAGATTGCAAAAAGTACAGTTTCTTACTGTGCTGTATAAATTTTTAATATGGACATGCACAAATCTAACTATTAAAAATTTAATCTAACGATTAAAAACACTTATCCTCGATATTTACAAAAAGAGAATGCACTGTAAAGTTTCCCTTCTTTCTTTTTTTTTTTCCCTTTTGAAAAGTGTACTTATTTGACAACTAGTTTACATTTTAAAGAGTTTCCCTGATATAGTAAAAAAAATGAACTATTAGATTTTTTTTTACTTTTTTAATCTAATTTAATTTTGATTAGATTTAACAGTTAAAAACTGATACTACTACCAGAAAAAAGTCAGGATAATAGAATAATGCCACCAAAAAGAATTTACTGTCAAACGAAGATTTTGTTGTTTTTATCTTATTTCTAGTTTCTATTTTCCTGAAAAACGAGACTATTTAGGTAAAATACAAAGAACATATCCGTCATTTTTTTTTTGTCTTCAAATTAATCATTACACAACAATAACAATACTAGCAATAATAACAACAATATAAACTAATTCATGCAAGGCTTTGAGCCTTGACTTAAAATCTATAGTTGCAAACGAACACTGTTATGAAGCATCATAATCTTCAACATCAGACACAAATAGGAGATCAGCTCCAATTGTAAGACTCATGTTACGGTTCCATCTCTCATTAACACAACCTAAGCATGTTTCATTGATTAAGATATTTTTAGAAGTTCATCATTTTGTCATACCAATTACAATGCATTCCTCTTTCATCTTCGAAAAGGTCCCGTTCAGTTCGCTAATTCGAGTTTTTAATTCGAGTTGAGATGTGATGTTGTGTGAGAGCTTTACTGTAGTAAAAAAGTTAGATGTGACTGTTTCTGAGAACTTTTTACTGTAGTAAAACTCGAATTCTAAACTCGAATCAGCGAAATGAACGGGACCTACATTTACTTGTTATTTCGAAAATCGCAAACCTCGATCTGACCCGGATTCGAACCCAAAGTGAGGAAAGTTCCATGGGTGGGGCTCCAAGCAGAGGTGTCCAAGTGACAGATGGCAACACCGTGGTTAATCTTGGCCTTCGAATTCGGGTCAAGCATATCCGCATCTTAAACTCGGACCTTGGGTACAGAGTGGCAATAATACACTAGGTAAGGGAATAGGCTCTGGTGACAAGACACAGACTCGGTGACTTTTCCACCGTTGATCCCTTTGACTGAGCCAATCAATATGTCCTTTAACCCGTTGACATTCTCAGTTGACCGGACGACGATGTTGTGGCCTAGCACCGATGTGGCGAAGTCGATCATGTCCGCCGATGAAACGCAACGTTTTGTCTCTCCCTTACATGGCGTCCTCTCACACTCCTCTAAAGTGTCCACCCCGCCATTGCCGTTGTCGTCGTGGTTGCATAGTTCTTGTGGGTGACATTGTAGGTAGCGAAGGTGACGCCTTTTTTGTCCTTGGTGTACTCCTTGAATTGATTGAGGTCACTACAGACCTTGAACCCAATCGACTGTCCCGTCGCACCCTTGCCGTAGCTCGTGAAATTGTCCTCCCCGAATCTAAACGATTCACCATAATTCGCGAAAGTGACTACCTCGTTCTTCGAATCCTTGGCGTAGGACTGGAAAGAGTCCTCTCCTTGGGCAGGATTTTCTCTGTAAGACTTGAATTCCTCCACCCCCGCAGTCGGCGCCGTCTCCGTAGTTGATGAATGTGGTACTGAACGAGTCTTTGCCCCGGTACCCGCTCTCGCCGTAGCCGGAGAACCCTGTCCCCATTAAATTCGCTCCAGTGGGGTAGTTTCCGAACTCGTTCGTCGCTCCATCGCCGCTCTTGCCGTAGCTCTCGAATCCCTGGCTCACGAATTTGGAGCCATTGCTGTAGCTCTTGGAGCTCTGCTTCCTCCAGCCGGATCGTTCCGAGTAGGAAATGAATTGGAGTTCCGGAACGTTCGACGCGTCGCCGTACTTCTTGAAATCGCCGGTTGCTTTGGTGGATCCGGTCCCGTAGGTGTTGAAGCTCTGGACCACTCCGTTGCGGTCAACTCCGTAGCTGGCGAACCAATCATCGTGGTTCGTCGAGCCGTGGCTGTATCTCCTGAACGAGTCGGTCTGATCCGGAGTAGTTCTTTAAACGAGTCGGCTCCGCCGAGGCGATCGGAACCGTAGTTGGTGAAGTTCTTGCTGGCGTAGGAGGAGAAGCTCGAGTCCTTGTCGTGCTTCTCGAGGCTCTGCCCTAATTCCGAAGAGCAGAGGAGGTTTGCGGAGGAGCAGAATCCCAGGAGGCGGGTGGACAGAATTTGCATGGCTTACGTTGGGGGATGAGAACATGATAAAGAGGAGTGCGATAAGGCCGATTTGTTTGTGCTGCATGGTGTTCTTCTTCTTCTTCTTCTTTTCTTTTTTTTTTTTTTTTTTTTTTTTCATGAACTGTGCATGTTCTTTTTTTTTTCTTTTTCTTTTTTTTGTACATGTTTTTAATTAACTCTGAAACGCCTGCTGGGTTGCAAAGCTGGAAAGTACTTGCAACTTGCGAGATACACTAACTACTTACAATTTATGACATAAATAAGGCACAAAGCCCACATGATCGCATTATAACATCGTCTAAGTACATAAAGTACGCTTGTGAAATGTTATTAACGTGATCATGAACAAATTATTGATATATATATATATGTATATATTCATAACGTCTATAACTATTTGAATAATTTCCAAATTAGGTCTTCCCATTTCTCTTGTTTTTCTATGTAGCTTCCCATCTCTCTTGTTGAGCTTGTAGTTATTTAGCTTTCATTAAATACCTACTTGATAGTTTGTGCACAATATGAATATTTTGCAGTTCGCAAGTCCTTTAAATGACTACTATAGTACTGCTAATATGTCCGTTTAATATCCTAATTAATCAACATTTCATCCGTCGGTGAACATCTTGAATTTTAATTAACTTGAGAATCAAGGATCTGTCAGATTCAAAGCTGAAGAAGAATCAACACTCAAAAACCTTAAAATTGACTCGTGTTGTTAAGCCTCTGACGTATTATTACTTATTCTATTTCCACCGACGATACTTAATAAATTGTTTGTCTCGTCCCATTTATGACATACTTTGACCAACATGGAGATAAATATGAGATTTGGTAATAGAAAAAGGGCGAAAAGGAATCAATCTGTACTGTTCCTAAATCCTACTCTCCGTTATTTTATTCTTGTACTTTGTTCGTAGAGCTTGGAAACATAAACCGGATTTCTTCATGTGTTAATAGATTTTCTTGTTTCAACATGATTAAAAAAGCTTAAAAAATGTCTATATATAATATGGAACTATATAAACTCCCAATTCCATCCATTATGTTCGATTCAACCAGTAACTGTTTTCTGCCTACACAATAATTACATGCTTTTTTTTGGCCAATTAATATTGCCCATTGCTTTTGAAGATTGTTTAGACTAATATATACTTCAAAATATTGTGGGTGCAAACTTTCCATACTATTTTTTTTTAAAAAAAAAGCTCTGGATAACATAACTGCCAATAGTTTTGGTGGTAAACTTTAAGGATAAATTAAAAATGCATATCAATGGCCATTTTCAATGCCTTAGAAGTAATCTTCATAATTCTCTCTCCAGTCTCCACCTCCATTATCAATGGCCAGATCTCATCGGATTCTCTTCCTAGCTCGTTTCTCCATCACTTTGTTTTCTTCTATCAACTTCAGGACCATCCTCTCAAGCCTCTCTACTTTCCTTAATGTGAACTTTCAAACAATAAAAAATTCTGCCAACCTCAATTTCATCTATTAAAATATACAAAAACTTACGCGTGCATGTGCAAATTATGATGAAAAATATTGAAGCGCACCAAGTGAGACTCCCGACTCCCCCCTCACTTGATCAATATAAATTCCTTACCAGAACACAAACAAAAGAACCAAAACACTCACTTCAGAAAAAATAGCAAAAAACAAAAAAAACAAAAAAAAAAAACAAATTATGCAGCTCAAGCTAAGGCGAGTGAATAAGGGGTTCAGCACCTACGGGACCGGATCCACCAAAGGAACCGGCGATTTCAAGAAGTACACCGACTCGGCGAACGTTCCGGAACTCCATTTCACCTCCTACTCGGCACGATCCGGCGGGAGAAAGCAGAACTTCAAGAGCTATAGCGGCCGCAGCATTCTTTTGACTCCTAAGCCAAGAATTCAAAGAACGAGGTCGTCAATTTCTCAAATTATAGCGAATCTTTCAGTTTCGGCGAGGACAATTTCACGAGCTTTGGCAAGGGTGCGACGGGACAGTCGATCGGGTTCAAGGTCTACATCGACCTTAATCAATTCAAGGAGTACACCAAGGACAAAAAAGGTGTCACCTTCGCTACCTACAACATCACCCACAAGAAATCTGCGGCGGCGACGACGACGTCAATGGCGGCCAGTGGCAGTTTCGTTAAAAGGATCGTTGAGCCCGGCAAATTCTTTAGGGAATCTATGCTCAACACAGGGAGTGTCATGCCCATGCCTGATATAAGAGATAAAATGGCTAAAAGGTCGTTTTTGCCCCGGGCAATCAGCTCAAAATTACCGTTTTCATCCTCCAAAATGGCCGAGCTCAAGAAGATTTTCCACGCCGGCGATGGATCTGCGACGGAGAATATGATAGTGGACACCTAGGAGGGGTGTGAGAGGGCGCCGAGTAAGGGAGAGACGAAACGGTGCGTTTCGTCTGCGGAGGACATGATCGACTTTGCCACATCAGTGCTGGGCCAAAACGTCATTGTGCGGTCAACTGAGAATGTTAGTGGGTCAAAGAAGTACATCATGATCGGTTCAGTCAAAGGGATCAACGGTGGCAAGTCACACAATCAGTCGTGTCATCAGAGCTTGTTCCCTTACCTAGTGTATTACTGCCACTCTGTACCGACGGTCCGAGTTTGTGAAGCGGATATACTTGACCCGAATTCCAAAGCGAAGATTAACCACGGAGTTGCCATATGCCGTTTGTTTGTAGGAGTGGCAATTCGTGTCGCGTGTCGTATTCGTATCGTGTTTTGATAATTTTTTTAAAATTTATAGTCAATCCGAACACGACCCGCGACACGAAATTTTTTAAAAACCGCAACACGAACCCGACACGACCACTTTACGAGCTGACACGACACGACCTGAAAATGACCCGTGACACGAAATTGACCCGTGAACCCGAAATTGACACGAAAATTGTATACTTTTATTTAGTTTTTTACATATTAGAAATAACTTAAAATTCATAACACACTAAATTATAATAACATCCATTGAAATTAAGCAAATAATAGTATAAGATTTTGAGTATAACTATTATAATATCACAAGTTCATAATAAAATTTAAAATATGAAATGAAAAATATATGTATTTTTTAGTTTTTTACGAGTTTCGTGTAGTGTTCGGGTTAGGCGGATCCAACCCGAAATTGACCCATATTTTTCGTGTCAATTTTAGGTCGATCCAATTCTGACCCGAACCTCTTTTTTCTCAACCCTAACCCGCAAAATTCGTGTCGTTTTCGAGTCGTGTTGTCGTGTCGTGACCCATATTGTCGGCCCTAGTCATTTGGACACCTCCGCATGGAGCCCCACCCATGGAGCATTTCTGGCTTTCGGTTCTGGCCCAGGTCAGATCGAGGTTTGTCACTGGATTTTCAAGAATGATCTGACATGGACGGTTGCGGATTGAGACATCAAACATCAATTTGTGAAAATTATTTTGCTGATTGAAGAGATTTTACTAGAAGGATTGAATAAAAAAGAGATAAAGTGCGTAGTTACGTTAGATGAAAGCTCATGAATGTATTGCATGATAATAACATGAATTTTCAAAAAATATCTTAATGTATGCACTTTAGGATTTTAAATCAAAGTCAAAGCTTTAATTGCGTGGATAAGTTATTTTCTTATAACCATTTTTAGGGTTAATTCAAGACCAAAAATAAAAATTCCTCTTGCTATGTTTAGTAGAGGTAAAAAGTGGGATAAAACGTAAAGAGACAAAGGCTTTTTTGAGGAAAATAGTATTTTAATTTGTTATTTAGTTGGGAAAAGAGAAGAGAAAAATAAACTAGAGAAAGAAAACGACAAGTGGAGTTATCCAGAGGTTTTTAGAGAAAAAACTTTGACATACATGCATTAATATTTTAATCATCTTTTTGTCCATAGTTTTCAATTTATGGCAATATTAAACAATTTTCGATGTAGACATTTAGTTGAACACTTATTTTATTTCAGCTTAATTCTTATCTTAGTAAAAAATAAAAAATTAAGAAAACCAACTTTCTTTCTCTCACATTTTCTTCCCCTTCTGTGTTTTCTCTCTCATCCTTCTTTTCCTTCCCTCTTGCCAAATAGAATTAAAGAGCATTAGTTGTAGCTCACAACTCAAACTCGTGCTTATACTTATTTAGTTATTTTCACTTTGAAAGTGGTCGTCACATTCATAATTCTTAATTGTCACAATACTACTAATGGTTTAATACTTTAAACTGCTACATTAATGAGTATAATATGGTATATTGAGTGAGAGAATTATTTAACTATTATTTAACGAGAATAGTGGGTGTAAGCTTAATCTAGCAGTATATCCATACTCTTTTTTCTAATGTTGAAGTGTAAAACCCATCCGAGTTTAATAATAATAAAAGTAGTAGTGGTGGAAGTAATTATTGGGATTTGTTTCCCAAATTTTGTATTGATTCTAATCGTTTTATGATTGGTATTATTTTGGGAATGATTGGCTGGTTGATTGTGTTTGAAAATAGATGTGCAGCTTGCAAGCTCTTTATGGAAGGTTTCTGTAAGATTTGGAAACTTAATTCAGTTACTGTTTTTGAAAATTCAACTATTGATCCGAAGATGGTAAATTGTTAATTGGTGATTTGATTGATATTTGATGGAGATTTCGTAGCTGGATGATCTTCTTCTGTCTCCTAGGAATGTGTCTAGATTCATATATCAATTTCGGAAAGGTTTCAAAATTAAAACAGATTGTTTCGGATAGATTTTGAGAAAGTCGACGTTGACAGCTATGTTGCAGTTATTGTTGCAACAAAGATCTGCAACAGATTTGGTTCAGTGAATTAATTGAAGAGGTTGTCAAGTTGTTATTATTTTTGCTTATTTATTCAAAGAGTCTCTTGCATCACTGTACACCTTTTGATTAGTTTTGTTGGGTTGTGAGAGAGGTGAGCACTTGTATTCAAGAGAGATGATTTGAGTATTTTTTTTAGAGAAAAACTTAGTTGGAGGGATTCCAATGTTAAAAATTCGAGGGGATCTCGCTATTCAAGTCCATTGGGAAATTGTAAGTTCATAGGCGTCTTCTTAGAGAGGGAGTCTCGGGTAGATTAAGTCCAATTGAATTATAAAATAGTTCTTTGTGGATTGTTCATCATCTGGGCGTGGCCTCGCGAAGTAAGTTGTGACCGAACCGCGATACCATTTCTCTCGTGTTCTTTTATTTTACGTCTCTGCATTATTTATATTGTCTTAAAAAGTATTAAAAGACTCAAACCGGTACTAACAATAATAATAATAATAATAATAATAATAATAATAATAATAATTTAAGTAGAATCACGTTCTAGTAGTATTGCTACTCTCAAATCTATTTTTAATTAGTTTCCTTCAAACATTCTTGAATCAAGTTTTATCCGTCGTCTTAATGATCTGTTCTTCAAATCCTTCTACTTTTGTTTTGAAAATAAAGCTTTTGGCTTTCTAATTTTTAAATTGTCTTCAAGAATTAGTATTGCTGTTAGATACGTACGCATCTAGTATTTAGAACAACTTGAAATATTCAAATAGAACAATTTGAATGGCTCAAGTGTAATAGTAATTTTGCCATTCAAGCTAACAACCCCGTTCTTTTCACTGATTCGAGTTTAGAATTCAAGTTTTGCTACAATAAAAGGCTCAAATAAGACATTTTTCTATATTTATTTTATGTTTTATGCACTTAAACATTCAAATGTTTGGTTATGTTTTCAAACTTATTTAAATGTACTTGGCTATGTTTTCAAATTTCTTTGGATGTTGGTAATTGGTATGTTTTGAAACATATATACTTGATAATCTAGTAGAATCATATATATATATATATATATGTGTGTGTGTTTGATATTTAGATATTTTAATGTGTGTTGGGCTATTATGCATGATTTTATATTAAGTAGTCAATGAATATAGTTTTGAATACAATATAAAATTCCACTATTTTTGCTAGTTGGGTCATAAACGTGTTTTTTTCGTGTCAGCCCGTCACGGCACGTTTAGTAATCGTGTTCGCGTGGCGTGTCGTGTTAACTGTGTTAGTAGCGTTTCGTGTTCGTGTTTGGGTTTCTGACACGTTTATTAATCGTGTCGTGTTCGTGTTCACTATAATCGTGTCGTGCCGGCCCAAACACGACACGTAAACACGAATTACCAGCCCTAATATAAGCCAAACCTAAAACGATAAGAAAGTGAATATTTATATATATATATACATATATACATATATATATATATATATAATATATGGAAACATGGCATTACGTTAGATCAACGTCATATTCACATAGGCGAACAAGTTATAATGTACTAAGAGGAAATCACAGAATAAAAACACAAAAGCTAGCTAGCGTCTCATCAGCAACAAAAAGACACAATAAAGCTATATGCTCTTTAGATACGTAAATAAAGAGGCATTAAATGATGATCATTTAAGATTTTTATAATTTGGATGGTTGATGAAACTAATTAACGTAAGTGCACGGTATGAACTTAATTAATCAGTGCCTAACACAAGATGAGCATTGATCACATAATTCATTTGAACTTTGAAGGCTCGATCCATGTATAGGTGGATTTTGGATTTTCGTGATCACGTTTAAAATGAAAATTTGTTTTTCCTCTGTCTGTCTCCGTCAGTTAAATGAAAAAACCATCTCTCTTCTTAGTTGTCTAAACTGTGACTCCTTTCTCCATGATCAATTATGAACCTTCTTCTCTGAGTGCTTCATAAAGTTGATATTCATGCACTATCGAGTGTGTGTATATATATATATATATATATATATATATATATACACACACACACACACATATAATATTTCGCGGTGCTCATGATTATATGTGGTAGTGCACTTAATTATTATAATATGATTTTTCATTGGACAAAATCACCATCTTTGGTAGGTTTTCTATAGTGCTTATTGGATATATAGATTGCAGATCATATATCTCGAGCCCACAGAGAATTTATCCACTTTTCTTTCATAATCGTTTAGGTAATCGCGATTCCTTAGAGTATGTAAGGTCTTTATCAGCCCTTTCATGCAAAAATATAACTAACCCTAAAGTTAATAATCAATTTTCAAGTTTAAAATAATGTTTTAGTTTATAAATTCAGAATTATTATTAATTTATGTGTATTTTTTATAATAAAAAATATTATAATAAATTATGAACTATAATTCAAACGGTGACATAAATCTTTATTTCGAACGCATCCAAATTCTTTCCTATATATCCAAACCTTTTTGTATCTTAACCAAATATCTATCATTTATTTCTGAATAAAAATTTTGCCAACTCTTTTACATATATAGCATATAAGAAAATAAAATCTTTGACTTTTCAGATTTGCCTTACTTTGTGTGCAAACACTATTGGCACCGGCGTGGGATTTCTACATTTCGGTGGAATCAGAAAAGACAGTTGTAAAAAGCTCATGAATGTTGGAAAAACGTACCTTTTCTTCATGTCCAGTCTTGGTCTTAATTAGTACTACCACTGTATGGGAAGTTTTTCAATCATGATCACATGCTGCAACAAGAATTTGAATATATCTTCTTTGATGTATCCAATATGGCGGGCGCAATCAAAACAACGGGAAAGGTTTGAGACATGTAGATCATGATATGTGTCGACATTTTATTACGTTCTTTTTTTTAATAGTGTTGCTGAAAATATGTTTTACTTTTGATTTTATTTTCAGTCAAATATTTGTGAAAGGGATGACGAAAGCTTGACATCGAGTATTAAGGATTAGTTTGGTACGATAATTTAAATTAAAGTGATTTAAATTATAATTTTTAAGAATTAAAATTGTAATTTATGATTTTGAGTTTAAATTATGATTCTAAAATCATGATTCATAAAAAAAAATTTGAATCACATTGAATTAAGAGAGAGATGATTTTAGAATTATGATTTGAGCTACTTTACGTTTGGTTTATGGATTTAGAATCATGATTCATAACTATTCTAGATTTACGCGTGTTTTTTGTGAGAGAAAATACTGTAGCGAGTCACGAACTATGATCCGAACTATGACACGAATCCTTACTCCAAATGCATCACTATAAACAAACACTGATTCTGAATCATGATTCAGAATCATTCAAACCAAATACTGATTCAGAATCATTGTAAACAAACACTAGGAGACGTTTGGTAAAAGAATTCATACCATGATTTGAATCATGGTTCATAGTTCGCTACAGTGTTTTCTCTCACAAAACATACACGTAAATTAAAAATTATTCTAATATCATGATTCTAATCTATGAACTAAACGTCTCCTTAATTTTGAACCAGAATCTAGAATCATAATTCTGGATCCATCTACCAAACGCTTGAATATTATGAAAGGATAATGTTGTATGTATTTGCTGTTTATAGCTTCAAAACGATATGGAATCATGAATTATGATATAACAAAGCTCTCTCTCTCTCTAAAATGGGTATGAATC